ATTAATAAATTTCATTTTTTATATCTTATATTTATTTTAATTCGGACTCACTTTAAATAAAATTCTAACTACACCACTCATTATATATATATATGGTGAATATAAATGGCTTAGGATACGTTGCATAATCAGGTATGGACCATTAATTTTGAGTGGGGCCAAAAGGCTCATATCTAAGGGATGAAATTTAACATTTTTTTTAATTTTCTTTAATTATTCTTATCTCGTTCTAACTTGAAATTCAAAAATGATTGCAGAGATGGAACGAATTCGTTATGATCTACAAAATGATATCAGTTTTCAATAATATTTCGAGAAAAAAATTTCATACCACCCAAGTTACCACCTTGGTACCGCATGGTATGACCTTCAGTTTTAACTCAAATTTTCAAAAAAATTGTACAGGCGGAACGAGTTCATCATGTTTTATTGGATAAATTTCTGAAAAAAAAAAATAAAGGGCCAAAATATACTACTACGTTCGATCCTGGTATAGAGGGTGGTACCTAGTGGTAAAAAATGATAAATGTGGTAAATGACAGTTCGTATATTGTTACTATCATACACACATGGTTCAAATTCGTTGTACACTTGTATAGTTTGGATGATTACCATTAGGGATGGCAACTTTGCCCATACCCATGGGTTTTTTACTATCCAATCCAATTGGGTTAGGTATGAAATGCAAATAGATGGATATGGGTAGAGTTTGATGGGTTTGTACCCATACCCATTTACTTTGGGTTGAGTTGGGTTTATATCAAATGGATTTGGGTTTGTACCCATGCCCAAATACAAATTACAGTTTGGTACCCAAACTTAATAGACATGCATATTTAGTACCTAAAATTAATTTTTTTTGCATATAAGTCCTCAAAATATCGATGAAAAATTACGTTTTGGTACCTAAATTTTTTTGATCTTACATTTTGGTACCTAAACTTTTCAAGTTTTGCAAATAGATCCAATTTTTGCATGTGTAGTTAAAACACCCTCAAGTAAATGGATATCCATATCCAACCCATACCCATTTAGATTATGGAAGCCCCAAACCCATCTATAAACCCACAAATCCATATGCACTTCACCCATACCCAACCCATTATCAATGGGTCTACTTAGGTTTGGGTATAATTACCCGTGGGTGGGTAATTTGCCATCCCTAATTACCATCATCCTAGAGCCAACCTTCTATAGAGAATCTGTTCAAATGTGTCATTTCTTTGTTCCTCTTGGAAGTGACATACTTTGAACATGCTTCTGGTTATACAAGATTATTGAGGGTTCCGTCCATTGTATTTGTTTTGGCTAAATTGCAAGTTTGGTCACTTAAATTGCTGCAAAATTTTACGTTTGGTCACTCGAATTCGTTTATTCCATTTGTAGTCACTTAAATTAGTTGAACAGTCCAAGTTCGGTCACTCTCCGTTAACCTTCGTCAGACTCCGTTAGTGCCGTCAATTAACTACTGACGTGGCTAACAGAGATGCCTAGTCACCCAATTTTAACCCAAGAAAAAATAGAAATTGACCTGCCACGTCAGAAAAACATGCCACCTCATATACACACAACCCAACCCACCCAACCTAAAAAAACCATTAACCCAACCAGAAATCGAACCCGTGACCCATCCACCCTTCTTCTTCTTCCTCTATACCCTACTTCCGCCACCGCCGGGGGGATTTCCCCTCGATCTCCCTGCTGCAGCCCCCGCCGCCGGATCCAGATTCGCGAGGAAGAAGAAAGTGAGAAGGAGGAACCAAAAAAGCCGGTTCTTCGCCATGATCCCAGAATCGCCATCGACGGCTTTGTGGCTTCTGTCTCCATTAGTATTCGAACTACAAAGAAGAGGTTGAGCCGTCCTCCTCCGCCTCCCTCTGAGCAAAATCAGGAGACGATGAAAAGCGATAAGAAAAAGAAACAAACCTCAGGCTTGGACAACAATGGTAGAGCTGCAACATGCGGTGAGATGGTTTCGGATCCACAGTTTGCCATGGCTCACACTGACCCTCGGTTCCAGAAGGTTCCCCAACGCAAGACGAAGGTTGCTATCGATTCCATATTCAAAAGCAGGACTCCAAGAGTTTGTTTCGCCATTATTATCATGTTGAGAAAGGTGAAGAGAAAGGAGAAGGAAAATTGAATGAAATCGAAAGCGAGGAAGAAGAAAGTGAGAAGGAGGAACCAAAAAAGCTTGTTCTTCGCCATAGTCCCAGAATCACCATCGACGGGCGGCCACGACATCGCCTTCGTCATCTCCCCCACCACCGAGTTCACCCACGCCGTCGCTAGCCAGCACCTAGATCTCTTCAATTCCACCAACATGGGCAGCGAATCCAACCACGCCGTCAAGCTCGACGCGATGAGCATCCCCGAGTTTCAGGACATCGACGACAACCACGTCCGGCTCGACCTCAACACCCTGACAAGGAATCGGTCGCGAATCTGGATCCGGCGGCGGGGGATGCAGCAGGGAGATCGAGGGGAAATCCCCCCGGCGGCGGCGGAAGCAGGGTATAGAGGAAGAAGAAGAAGGGTGGAGGGGTCACGGGTTCGATTTCTGGGTGGGTTAATGGTTTTTTTAGGTTGGGTGGGTTAGGTTGTGTTTATATGAGGTGGCATGTTTTTCTGATGTGGCGGGTCAATTTCTGTTTTTTCTTGGGTTAAAATTGGGTGACTAGGCATCTCTGTTAGCCACGTCAGCAGTTAACTGACGTCACTAACGGAGTCTGACGGAGGTTAACGGAGAGTGACCGAACTTGGACTGTTCAACTAATTTAAGTGACTACGAATGGAATAAACGAATTCGAGTGACAACGTGAAATTTTGTAGCAATTCGAGTGACCAAACTTGAAATTTAGCCATTTGTTTTTTGTATATCTGCTCTCTTTATAATTGTTAGTGGGAGAAATTGTTCTGGTATGTGGGTCTTTGTACTGGTGACATAATGGCCATTAGCTGTCAAAGTTATGACACAATGGATCGGGAAATCATCATTTTTTTTGTGAGAAGACAAACACCAAAAGGCTTTTAAATTATATTGAGATCATGCGGTTCATGGTAATGCCTACAAGATCGTAACGAAGCCAGTGATCCAAACTAGGGCTATATACATTGAAAGAATGTTTACCAAAAGGAGAAAGGTGACCCTTTCCAACCAAAAAATCAGCTGCAAAATTGCATTCTCTAAAAACATGTGAAATCTTAACTTCCCAATCCCGATCAAGAAGTTTGTGAAGGTGTTCCATAAGTGGCCCGTGACAAAGGTTGGTGTCGTTGAGTGCAATCGCAGTAGAGGAATCAAGGTTTAACTCCACTTTCCTGAAACCCTTCTGTCACGCACGCTCCAGTCCTCAGCTACGCCTTTGATTTCTGCTCTTGTGATTGAGCAGATGATCTCTCATTAATCCTCATGTTGCTGCTTTACTAGACGGTCCAAGAACTAAGTCGTCAGTTTGCAGCTGAATCAGTTTTCACGTGGAGGTCACGAGGCTAAAGCTCTTGTTTCTTGTCTTCTTCTCAAAGGGAGGATGCTTCTTTGCACATTTTCACTTGCCTGCTTGTTGATTTGGATCCAGGCAAGAGCTCTATGAATTGTCATTTCATCAGTGGAAGTCTTCCCTTCAATTGCCTCTTCATTTCTCTACTTCCAGATGATCCAACAAACAAGTCCAAAGTCGGTACCAGTATCATCTGCTTTAAGGTTCTCGCACAACCAGGTCTGGAAACCAGCTGTGGGTGATCTGCTTTTGATCTGCTTTTGAGGAGGCTGTCAAAATGCCTCCAAATGCCTTCAGTTCTCTTGCATTCCCTTAGAATGTGTTTTGTTGTTTCCTCGATTCCTGGACACCCCGTACAATCACTGTATGTTGTCAGTTTCTCTTCTCCCTCTGCTTGTTAGTGAGAAGTCTATCATGATTTGCGAGCCAAAGAAAATGCTTCACTCGACTTGGTCCTTTCCAGTGCCAAAGCTCCTTCCACATCTTCATTGGTTCCTCCTCAGTCATGTTCATCACCAGGTTGTATGCTAACTTGAGACTAAAGCGTCCATCCTTCTCCCCTCCTCACAGAGTTGTGTCTTCTCCCAGCACAGGGCACGACGAGTCATTTCCTTCAATATGGAGAAGAATTTCATGATCAGAGAGGAGTGGCTTGATTTTGTTCCACTCCCACTCACTTTTGTCATTAGTCCAATCAATCACAGAAGAACCTCGCTCTTCCTCTATAAGTTGTTGTAGAGCATAATCTTCAAGTATCACTCCCTTTTCCACCCAAGGATGAAAAGCGATTGGATTATGGAAATCGGCATTTTAACAAAGTAAACGATATATGTGATTTATTAATAAAATTTGTGCTACCTAGTTCACGAACAGGAGAGAGTCTATTTTACTATATTTGAGAAGATACAAATTTATAAAGGGATTGATAAATCTCATGACTTTCGATCGACAACAAATAATTCGATTCAACTCTTATCAATTGCTAGAATTTCTGGTGCATCCTGTTAACATAAAATTTTCATCATTTGATTAAGAGTATAACAAAATCTTATTGGGAAATCATTCTCTTTCTAAAAAAAATCCTACTAAAATAGTTTTTGTTTTATTTGGATGATTGAGAGGTGGCTAATTGTTTATGTGTATTCATTTATATGGAATAAATATCTTATGGAGCGCAACATTTGACAATAAATTTATTATTACTCCTAAAAACCTTAACGGTGCATTCACTTTTGGGTATCTATAATAATCCATAACAGTTGTCTTAAATTTTTCTTCCATTCTTGTAGCTTCACATTTGAAATTAACCCTTGTATAGAGAAAGGAAAAAGAGGAAAGGTTTAGCATCAAGGATTTCATTATTCAAGAGTGACCAAAGTATTTCTCCATATATATGGACAACAATGTCTCATTTCTTCATCAAACAACATCTCTTAAAGAACCAAATCCCTATCAATTTCTTCATTTTAATTCCTTTGTGGTAGAAGAAATCTTGCAAGCATGATGAAGAAGAGCTCGTCACCGTCGTCGGTGGTACCACTCGTCTTTCTGTTGGCTTTTCTCCTCGTCGGCGGTAAGAACATGTCTAACCTATAAACATGGAGTGGGACTGGGGAGTTATCTCCGATAATGGTTCGGTGAACAAATAGTTGTTTCTTATATCTTAGATTATTTGGAATAATGTAAATTAGATTGTTGTTATAAATCGGAAATATATATGGGTTAGGAATTATTTGATAACTTATATATATATATGTGTGTGTGTGTGTGTGTGTGTGTGATTTTGCAGGATTGGAGGCGGCCAATGAGAAGAAGATTTGTTACGGAAATGTTGTGGTGAAGGCCAACTGTGTGATAGATAAAATTTGTACGGCTGCTTGCGTTGAGAAATATGGAAAGACAGCGTTTGGCCATTGCGAGGATATCCGCTACTGTGTTTGCTACTATTTATGTTGATACACATAACAAGGAAAGCCCATAATTTGTTTTTTTTTTATTATTATAAATGAACGCGAATAGCGTCCTATCTTTCATTCACTATCTACGAGGGTTCGAAAAACTCTTATTTTCTTTGATAATAAAAAACAACCTTCTTTTATTGAACCTGATAGTATGTTGAACGACATTCTCTCGTTTCAACTTTATTTTGTCGAAATTGTGGTTGTTTCTCAATTTTCACAGAAATCAAAGAAGATGGCAGTTCAAAGAAATTGGCCGAGAAAGTCTCTATATTGGATTTCAATTCAAGTGAAAGATACATGGATGAAACTTTGATGATTTGCATATTTTAGTATAGTTAGGCAAACATAGCTAATTAGATACACATACAATAAAAAAAAAAACTTCCATTCTTTGTAATCGGATTGGGACGATTTACAGTGATCCAATTCTGTTCCTTTGAGGAGAAACCCAATAAAATTGGAATATGGTTTGTTTTATAATCATAGAAACCTTCATGTTTTATTTGTGATCTTGAACCGTAAATACACAAATTACCTTGTTTGTTCGTAGATTATCTCTTGATTGTTCCAATTTGATACTCAAGAATGAAGGACTCCTAAGAAAATTTTTGTGGTGGCTAGAGTGGACCCGGACTTGCAACCTCTTTCACACAAGTACAACACTTTGAACATATATAAACTACGAGGTCGTTTGGATGGAGTATTGTAATGAGTTATTTGGGACCAAATAACTCAAAATAAGTTATTTGGTCCCAAATAATCCATTTGGTCACCAATCTTCTCCATGAGTTATTTTAGGACGCGTTAATTAAGAATAACGCGATAATGCATTATTATCAATAACCGCCACCCCCTGTTATTCTGAAATAACGAGTTCCGCGTTTACCTCTCCCCGCTTTGCCCCTTTCTCTCTCTCTCTCTCTCTCTCTCTCTCTCTCTCTTCGTCTTCTTCTCTTTTCTTAGGTACTTTCTCTTTCCTTTTCCCCAGTCTTCTTTCTCAACTACAATTTTCGCACTCCACTTCATCTAATTTGTTTCAAGAGCAGAAGGAGATTGTTACAATAATCTCCGATTTTTTCACTTCAATCCCTCATTTTTTTCTGCCAAAATGGTTTAGATTTCTACTGATGGAGATAATCTCCCTCTGAGGAGCGATTCCCATTCATGCCTTCCGCCTCCTGACAAGGCTTGAAAACTGCTTCCGAGCGAGGCTCCCTAAAAGAATGAAGACTAAAATACCATTTAGAAAGTGGAAAGACTACGCTTCCCAGAAAGTAGGAAAACTAAAGCGCTTCTCAGAAAGAAGGACCAAAATTCCCAAAGAAGTCGAAGGAAGAACCCCTCCAAGTAGGCAGGAACACCAAACACCTCCTAGTAGGGACAACATCGGCAAGAATAAAAAAAACTTGATCACGCCTCACACGGGTAGGACATTGACAAGACACATGAGCTCCCAACACACATGGGCACGGCGTTAGTAAGACGCAAGAGCATTTAGAGTTAAACTTCTCAACCCCGCTTTGCCACAAAGCCCAATCTTTGTCCATATTCAAAGACCACCTTAGCCTGTCATGCATCCGGGGAAATCATCGTGAGACGCCTTCAATAAGACCGCCTCACAAGACATGCCCAAGTACAATCATCTTCTCGGCACACTGCATATGACCCACAATCGCCTCTGACGGCCCGCCAAAGCGGTTAGCTCGCTTCGCATTCAATCCGCTCCACCAACGGTGGTCCGCTTCACACATCCGGATTATTCACCCCTGCATTGGGTCGCAACTTCAATTGTTCACATCCCGTGTCCCACGAAAGATTCTGGCCGCCCTCGAGTCGGGTCCACATTCATGGGTCCGGTCCGCAACAACGAAGGATTGTCTTTCAACTTCCCATTACACAATACAGGCTAGTCCCTCGTCCGGCCCACTTTGCCCTCAATCAACGCCAAGCCCCAACATCACTCCGTGTCCAATTCTTCATGCGGGTTAGCTTCCAAACCCTCAAACGAATCCCAACGTTGACGGACGGTCCAACCAAATGAGTCTCCATTTGCCCAAGCTGAAGTGCATACCACTACGCTACAAGAGAGTGCTTTATGAATCCGAATGCGACTCTAAGAACTTAGACCATTCTACAGCTACCTCATACAAGAAAAAATGCATCCCACCCCTGAGTGATGCTTCCACCCGTGGTTGAACTCTAATTTCGCTTCCCCGTAAGAGCGACATCGGTACAACTAGAAACACGATCCTGCCTCCAGTAGGTGCGACATCGCCAAGACACAAACGACTTCTTGAGACACAACCCTCAAGTCGTGTGGGGGGGCACCCTCCTTAACACATAGCTAACGCCTAATATTCAGCCAACAATTCACGCTTAACATGCATACAAGCCCATGCCCATCTCGCGGTCCTACAGCTTAACACCTACAGCTCACAGTTACGGCCTATATATTAGCACGCTCAGCAATGGGCCAGTGGGGAAATCTCAAACGACTTGAGAGCCCTAACTCAAGACATCGAATGCTAAACAAAGAAGCAAAGACGATGGTCGCACAAGGGGCAAACCGCATTGTTTGGACCCGCAAAGGTCCAGTCCACTCGTGGGCGTCCATCACCGGGAGGCATCCTGTCACCCGGGGGCGTCCATCACCGAGAGGCGTCTCATCCACTGAGAGGCGTCCATCACCAGGGGCATCCATCACCGAGCAATGGTCGCACAAGGGGCAAAACCGCATCGTGCGGACTCGCAAGTAAGGCGAGTTAATACACCTTAACGCATTATTTTACTCCTTCCATTCTTACAGAATACAAGAAGCAAAGGGCAAATGTTGGGTCTAGTATTAACCCGCCTAATACGGGCCCAAGCCCACCACAAAGCGTCTCACCTTGGGCCTAAGTCCATTCTAGGGTCCAGTACACCGGGAGGCGTCCAGTCCACCCAGGGGTGTCCTTTACCCCGAAGGCGTCCACCACCGGAGGCGTCCATTCACCGAAAGGCGCCCATCGACGGGAGGCGTCCATGAAAACGGGAGGCGTCCACTGGATGCCTCCGACTCCTATATAAGGAGGCCAGACCCTCCAAGCAAAGGGACTTCTTCTCTCCCTTCCCTTATTCTACCACTTATGGTTCTCTCTCTAAACCCTATCTCTCTCTACATTCTCTACACTCTATCATACATCCTATTCTAACTTGGGCGTCAGAGGGTAGATCCCGGGGGCCGCCCCCGACTCTCCACAGGATTCTTCCACGCCCGAGGAGATCAGACGAGGGAGTCCGAATCAAGGTTCCACACTAATCCTCGGTACTAATCCGGGTCAAACAGTACTATTAAACATAACTTTAGCTTAGAGACGAAGTATAATACCCATACGTATTTTTTATGTAACTTTCCCGTACCGTATTTTACTAACTATGGGCCAAAGAAGGACTTGGAAGTATCGAAGAAGAAGGGCAGTGAGTTTCTTGAAATTGGGATGAATAAGGGTAATAAAGTAATTTTTGTTTTTTTAATAGAATACCACATACAAATAACACTTCGAACCAAACATTACAATTGAAATTAAAATACCACCTTTCAATCTCAAATAACTTTGAAATACCACACTTCAAAAAAATGAGTTGTTTGTGCACAAATACCACACCCCAACTCATAACCCATCCAAACGACCCCTACGAATATTTTTGTTAGACTAGCTCCAACCCATGGTGTCAAAATGCTATAAAGCCATATTTGGCTTTTTTTCTTCCTCCAACCCACAAAAAAATGGGAAGCAAAATATGGGTATTGGGTTTTCGGGAGTTAAATTCGGCTGGGTTTTGGGGTGGGGAGTTAAATTTAGCTGCCAAAAAGTGCACAGCACGCCAGCCGATGTGCTGTGCATTATTGTTATTTTTTTTTCTTTTAATTTTTGTTGGTTGGGAATTTGTTTTTTCAATTTGTTTTGGATATTTTTTTCTCTATTCTCATTGGTTGTTTGTGATTCAATTTGAAATATAAATTTGAAATAATTGATGTAGTGACGAAAAAACGGTCATATTTTAACGGCCATAAAAACGGTCATATTTTAAAGGCCATATTTTTTCTTATATATTACAGCACTCTTCATAGATTTCTCTTCACTCATTCTCAGAGCATAAATCACATTCTCTCAAAATTCAATTGTTATCGTCTCTCAAAATAGAAATATGACAGGCAAGAGAGGACGTAATTGGCGTCCGAATGAAGATGAAATCTTGTGCAGAGCTTGGGTGTCGATATCAGAAGATGGAGCGGTTGGCACCAACCAGAAGTCTACAAGGTTGTGGGAAAGACTGGCGGCAGAACATAAAAAATGGGATCCTACTACAATTCGTACTGCTATTGCAATGGAATCCCGAATGAGGATTATTTGCTATCACTGCAATGCTTGGAAGGGAGTTTTGCAAAGAGCACAATGGCATCAATCGAGTGGCACGAACCAGTTTGATGTGGTATTCTTTTGGACCCTCAACTTGTGTATTTTCTTATTTTTTATGTGTCAATAAAAACTTTTCTAACCCATGTATACATATTTTATTAGGAAAAGGAGGCAAGAGCAATATATAAGCAAGAGAATGGGAACAAGGCTTTTGATTTTGAGCATTGTTTCGACATTCTTCGAAATTGTCCAAAGTGGTACTCCAATCCTGACCTGCTTGTTAGTCCCATTCCACCTATGGGGCAAGGTTCCCAAAGTTCTCCAACAGGTTTTGGTTCTCAATCATCTCCCGTGGAAGGCCTTGATGACTTACCAGATGAAGGAGCTACGCCTTTCGTGTTGACTCGTCCTGAAGGACGCGACAAACAAAAGGCAGCAAAGAAGAAAGGTAAGGTAGTTGCTGAATCGTCAGACATATACACTACTCAACTGCTAGAGTTTGGTAATGATATGAGAGAGAGGCAAAAGTCGAGGATGGAGTACGAAAACAGAAAAATGAATGTTCAAGAGAGGAGACTAGAGCAGGAGAAAGAGGAATGGGCATACAAGAGGCAAGTGAGGGAGCGTGAAGCGGAAAATTATTTTTTTTTTCTTTTAATTTTTGTTGGTTGGGAATTTGTTTTGGATTTTTTTTCTCTATTCTCATTGGTTGTTTGTGATTCAATTTGAAATAATTGATGTAGTGACGAAAAAACGGTCATATTTTAACGGCCATAAAAAACGGTCATATTTTAAAGGCAATATTTTTTCTTATATATTACAGCACTCTTCATAGATTTCTCTTCACTCATTCTCAGAGCATAAATCGCATTCTCTCAAAATTCAATTGTTATCGTCTCTCAAAATAGAAATATGACAGGCAAGAGAGGACCTAATTGGCGTTCGAATGAAGATGAAATCTTGTGCAGAGCTTGAGTGTCGATATCAGAAGATGGAGCGGTTGGCACTAACCAGAAGTCTACAAGGTTGTGGGAAAGACTGGCGGCAGAACATAAAAAATGGGATCCTACTACAATTCGTACTGCTATTGCAATGGAATCCCGAATGAGGATTATTTGCTATCACTGCAATGCTTGGAAGGGAGTTTTGCAAAGAGCACAAAGGCATCAATCGAGTGGCACGAACCAGTTTGATGTGGTATTCTTTTGGACCCTCAACTTGTGTATTTTCTTATTTTTTATGTGTCAATAAAAACTTCTCTAACCCATGTATTACATATTTTATTAGGAAAAGGAGGCAAGAGCAATATATAAGCAAGAGAATGGGAACAAGGCTTTTGATTTTGAGCATTGTTTTGACATTCTTCGAAATTGTCCAAAGTGGTACTCCAATCCTGACCTGTTTGTTAGTCCCATTCCACCTATGGGGCAAGGTTCCCAAAGTTCTCCAACAGGTTTTGGTTCTCAATCATCTCCCGTGGAAGGCCTTGATGACTTACCAGATGAAGGAGCTACGCCTTTCGTGTTGACTCGTCCTGAAGGACGCGACAAACAAAAGGCAGCAAAGAAGAAAGGTAAGGTAGTTGCTGAATCGTCAGACATATACACTACTCAACTGCTAGAGTTTGGTAATGATATGAGAGAGAGGCAAAAGTCGAGGATGGAGTACGAAAACAGAAAAATGAATGTTCTAGAGAGGATACTAGAGCAGGAGAAAGAGGAATGGGCATACAAGAGGCAAGTGAGGGAGCGTGAAGAGGAAAAGTGGGCTGTGGAGAAGAAAGAGAGGGAAGCTGCAATACTTCAACAAAATGTAGCTATTCTGGAGAAGTATTTGTCAAAGATGATACCAAGAAAGAAGAGATTTTGGAGGTGTAAACAAAATGACATTTATGGGTACGATCAAGATGATCCCAACTCTTATCCAAGTGATGGCGGAGATGGAGATGGCGATGCAAGTGGTGGAGGAGATGGCGATGAAAGTGGTGGAGGAGATGGCGATTACTATCCTGTCATGGATTATTAATTAGAAGAAGATCCTATTTGTACTCTATTGTCTTTACATCTTTAATGTGTTGTGTGTTCTCTTTCAGCTTTGTTATTTTCATGTGTCATGTGTACTCTTTGAACTTTGAGCAATTCCATGTGTAATAAAAACAAGTGTTATTGAAAGTTTGAAATACAAACAACCAAGCAACATGAAATACAATCACACATTGAAACTTGAAATACAAACAACCAAGCAACATGAAATACAATCACACACTGAAACTTGAAATACAAACAACCAAGCAACATGAAGTAAAACAATGCTAGATATTGCCGTGCAAATTCCAAAGATGCTCAACCAAGTCATTTCTAAGCGCATGATGTGTTGTAGATGAGCAAAGCCTGTTATTTCTAGCCAAGTAATCAATTAGAGTTGATTGGTGTCGGTTGATTGGTTCAGGTTGTGCATGGACCTCATAATCAAGGTCATCATCCATCTCGTCATCAGAATCAACCTGCTCATCCTCGATTATCATGTTGTGTAATATAATGCACGTCACCATTATATTGTTAAGTGTGACAACATCCCAAGCTCTTGCAGGGCCACGAACAATTGCCCATCTTGTTTGGAGGATTCCAAATGCCCGCTCTACATCTTTGCGGTGTGCTTCTTGATGTTGAGCAAACAAAGCCTCTTTGTTTGACCTTGGATTGCTGAAGGTCTTCACTAAAGTCGACCATGAGGGATAAATACCGTCAGCCAAATAATAACATTGATCATAAGCATGACCATTTACCTCAAACCGTACATGTGGAGCGCTTCCATTGACGATACGATCAAACACTGGAGACATCCCCAGAACATTTATATCGTTGTTCAATCCAGGTGTCCCAAAGAAAGCATGCCATATCCATGTGTTGTAGGAGGCCACTGCCTCCAGAATGATTGTTGGCCTATGCATGTGGCCGGTGTATTGTCCTGCCCAACCACTTGGACAATTCCTCCATTCCCAATGCATGCAGTCAATTGATCCAATCATTCCAGGAAAGCCACTACTTGAGGCTTTACGGAGTAAGATCCTTAAATCAGCAGGAGTAGGTGCGCGAAGGTATGTGGCTCCGTACATGTTGATAATGTTGTTGCAAAACTTTCTGAAGACCTCCATCAAGGTGCTCTCACCCATACGAACATACTCATCAAGTTGATCAGCTGGAGAACCATATGCTAGCATGCGCATCGCACTAGTAAGCTTCTGCTCTGGAGATAGTGACAATTGAACAAAGCTATCACGCCTTAGAGCAAATGAGGGGTCAAACCTCACAATGTCGCCCATAAATGCGATGGAATAATCTTGGTTGCATCCGATAGCGCCTTCTGAATATGCGAGCATTGTATACTGGATTTGGATCGAAGTAATCCCTCATAAGACATCGATTACATTCGACCCTCTCACGATCAATGTGACGTCGGCTTGTAGTTTGACGGCGACTTGATGCACCTTCAGCCAGTCTCCGACCGATCAAACTCAAACGTAGGTGGTGAAACCTTTCGTACTCTTCGTTTTCTTCTTCTCCAGACGATGAGCTATCTGAGATACTCATGATGAATGTGTTTGTTTTAGAAATGGGAAGAAGTTTTAGTTGAGTTGATGAAAATGAAGAACTGTCATTTATAAAGACATTTAGTGCAAAAAATGACAAAAAAAGGTCGTAAAGTAACGGATACAAAAAAACGGTCATATTTTAAGTGGTCCCGAAGTTTTAACGACTAATTTTTGGAAAAAAAAATTATCTCGGAATTTAAAAAAAATTACATTCAAAAATTTGTATTCAAAACTAATAACGAGCTATGAAAAAATTAAAGTAAAATATAAAAATTAGAGGTCAAATAAGTATGGTTTATTGAAATAAATTGAAAAAGGGAAATGGGAAGCTAAATTTAGCTTTTTATAGGGTTGGAGTGAAAAGTGGGTTTGGGGAGCTAAAAAGCCATATTTGGCCATTTGGGGAGCTATAAATTCCCCTTTATGAGTTGGAGTTAGCCTTAACGGTGTACAAATGGGCATGATACCATAATATCATATGCAAGCATGAAGCATGCCACATGGTGCACCCTGCCACTTAGCGTATCTAGCATGAAGCATGTCAAAATTAAACATGCTTTTCTTTTTCTTTTTCTTTTCCCCTCTTCCATTCAATCTGCTTTAATTAGAGCTATATAAAATTCAAAAATATCATTTCAGCACTATAACATTTTTTTTTTATAACAGCACTATAACATTTAATTGTTACTCAAATGAAGAGATTTCCTTACTAGATAATGATCATCATATGAAAGTCGACGTCTTACTCCAGGATCAAATATGCTGGTTTTATAAATTGCAGAGACCTTTTCTCTTTTAATAATCAAATCGGAAAAATCATTTTATTTTGGTACATAAATAGGAAAGAATCATGAAAGAAAGGAAAGGGAGATTTTCTGAATTGGACTCCCGAATTTCCGTGCAGAGCTAGGCAGGCCCAAGAAGAGCAAAAAGCCCACTTACTTCCCGCCAAACCCCAAAAAAGTTCTGTTTCTAACCAAAACCCTTAATTCCTCTCTTCTCCTCTTTAAACCCTCTCTTCCTCCCCAAATTTCTCATCCACTCCCGCCACCCTAAAACCCTAACAAAAGACATTCCTGGAGAGATTAGCTTCCGCCGGAGCCGGAAAATGGACCCAAAGGCCGTGAAATCCGACCTCGTCCTAATCCTCGACTATGGCTCGCAATATACCCACCTCATCACTCGCCGGATTCGCGCTCTCAACACCTTCTCGCTCTGCATTTCCGGCACCTCCACCCTCGACGCCATCACTTCCCTGAACCCGAAGGTCGTCATTCTGTCCGGGGGCCCGCACTCCGTCCACACGGCCGACTCGCCCAGCTTCCCTAATGGGTTTGTGGACTGGGCGCTGGAAAACGGCGTTTTCGTGCTGGGGATCTGCTACGGGCTGCAGCTGATTGTGCAGAAGCTGGGAGGGGAAGTGAGGGTTGGGACGGAGCAGGAGTATGGGAAGATGGAGATTGAAGTAGTGGGGAATTCGGGTATTTTCGGGAATAAGAAGATCGGGGATAAGCAGGTGGCTTGGATGAGCCACGGCGACGAGGCTGCTCGGTTGCCGGAAGGCTTTGATTTGGTGGCCAAGAGCCAGCAAGGGGGAGTTGCGGCTCTTGAAAATCGGGAAAAGAGGTTTTACGGGTTGCAGTATCACCCGGAGGTAAACTCTCGACTCTAGCTTTTGCTTTTTTTGCAAGGATATTTGAACAAAGGTGCAGACTTTTTTTTAATGGAAATGTGGATATTATGTACATTTTTAGGTGTCTCATTCGCCGGAGGGCATGGACACATTACGGCATTTCCTGTTTGATATTTGTGGAGTGGCAGCTGGTTGGAACATGGAAGATGTCTCGGCGGAAGAGATAAAGGCGATTAAAGGAACAGTGGGTCCTGAAGATCATGTGATTTGTGCTTTATCTGGTGGTGTTGATTCCACAGTTGCTGCAACACTGGTTCATAAGGCAATCGGTCATAGGCTTCATTGCATTTTTGTTGACAATGGTCTATTGAGGTGAGCTGCTGGGGTTTCTTATAGTATTGATTACTGGTGTTACTCTGTTGATCTATTGTTGTAATTCATCTGTTCCGGGTTCTGTAGGTATAAGGAGAGAGAACGAGTGATGGAAACATTTGAGAAGGATCTTCATCTCCCTGTTACTTGTGTCGATGCTTCGGAACAGTTTCTTAGTCATTTGAAGGGCGTGACAGATCCCGAGATGAAAAGGAAGATAATTGGGAGGGAATTCATTAACATCTTTGATGTTTTTGCCCATGATTTGGAGCAAAAGCTAGGGACGAAACCTGCTTACCTTGTCCAAGGAACTTTGTATCCAGATGTCATTGAATCTTGCCCACCTCCTGGCTCAGGAAGAACTCACTCACACACAATCAAGAGTCATCATAATGTTGGAGGACTCCCGAAGGACATGAAGTTGAAGCTCATTGAGCCTCTTAAGCTTCTATTTAAAGATGAGGTATGCTCTGAGATTCAAGTATTCTGTTTTCATTGTCTTGTTTTGAATGGATTTGAAACATTAAAATACTTTTTATTCGACAGGTCCGCGAGTTAGGAAGGATCTTAGATGTTCCTGTGGGATTCCTGAAGCGTCACCCTTTCCCTGGGCCTGGTCTTGCAGTAAGAGTGTTGGGTGATGTAACTCAGGGCAATGCCTTGGATGTCCTACGCCAGGTTTGTTACATACATTTTTTAATTATGAACATGAATGCTGGCAATTTTTGATGACTTGATTATCTATTAATGTTTTAAAATAATGGGTTCTCTCCTTTGATTATTTCTTCAGGTGGATGAGATTTTCATCCAGTCCATCAAGGATGCTGGACTTTACGATACCATTTGGCAAGCTTTTGCAGTTTTCCTGCCTGTGAGAACTGTTGGAGTTCAAGGGGATCAAAGAACACATTCTCATGTCGTTGCCCTTAGAGCCGTTACAAGTCAAGATGGAATGACAGCCGATTGGTAAGTTTCCTTTCTCTTGAATGTACTTGCATAGTTACTCCTTCATTAGAGCATGCAATTAGAATGTCATGCCATCACATACAATCACTAGAATGAAGAATAGGGCGTGTTTGCTTGTTAGATACCTTATCAAGGGTTGTCTTGCTTAGCCATATACGTCTCTGATTTGTGCTGCTGAAAATGTGGTAAATCCAGGTATTACTTTGAACACAAGTTCCTGGATGATGTTTCCCGCAAAATCTGCAACAGTGTACGCGGAGTGAACCGAGTTGTTCAAGATATTACATCAAAGCCTCCATCAACAATTGAGTGGGAGTGATGCCAACCTCAGGCGGTAAAGGTTTGGGGGGAGAAATTTGACTAGTAAGGTCTCACGGATGTGTAGAGTAGTGATGACTGATGAGGTTATCTGGTTGCCATATTTATGTCCCTAAAAGGGGTTATTTTGGGCTGGGGGCTTTTGCAAGTGAGGAAGAGTGGGGTGAGTGAACGATGGTTCACAAGGCCTGGTTCTTATTTATGCTGATTGAACCCAAGTTTGCAGAGTTTTTGTACCTCTCTTCTTTTGTTTTGCTTTTTCTTGAGCGGATGAACTTAAGGGGAAATATAATTTTCCTTGATGCTTATAGCTAGACCTTCGTTCGAAATTAAGACGTCGCAATTATCGACTATTTGACGTGTCCAGTTAGTGTGCTGAATCAACATAAGAGCTGATGATGAAGTTCCAGTTGGTTCTCCTTTTGAATGTTTGCTTTGAAAACTACAGTGAAAGGAGGATTGAAATGACAAGAAAAGAGTTGTTTGCCACTTGAAGATTTCCCCACCCGCGTCACCTCCCAATCTCCCATTATATGATCTCAAGCTCAGATTTTGGTGGGCTTTGTATCAGACACCTCTGTAGCATGTCGACCAATAATCGGAGAATCTTGTAAGCTTTTCTTTTCACATGCAGAATCTGACGATGGCAGAAGAAAACTGATCCCCACAAGGCCACAACAAGTTGAATAATACTCTATGCATTTCCATTAGACTTGAACTGGGAAGCCGAGGATAAGGATGGACAACAAAAACAGGGGCAAAAGAATTGAGTTTTACTAAGAACTTAAAACTGACCTACCTAGTTAATCACCATCTACAACAAGTAAACATCATAAGAGGTCCTTCTTCCCCATAGCAACTCTTTCAAGCGCCCTTTTGATCACTCCTGCTGACGCTGTTGCTCCACCACCAGTCACTCCTTTATGCTGCAATTTATTTCCCAGATATCATCAGGAAATGTTATTATGTATAGTGGGCTTTTTTCCTGCAATTCCCTAAGGCATATAAACGTTACCGTACCTCGGATTCAATGGTTAAGGAGAGAATTCCATCAGAGGTGGATGTTCGAACTGAGTGAGAATCTAAATGAAGACGGGTTAACTCTTCCATTATCCGAATCAGTATCCCTTCTCTCCATGGACAATGGACCTTGATCACAGGCCCCTTCATGTTCATGCTGACATTCACATTATCACCTTTAGTGGCAATATTGACCTTGATCTTCGGCCTCGTTTCATTCGTCTCGGATGCTTTCCTCTTGTTTCCAACTGTCCTACTGGCACTGCCATTTCTCTTGGTGCTTCCATAATTATCAGATGTTCTCTCTGATGAAGTTCTTTGGTTGATTTTCCTCTCTGTGCTTATTACCTCTGGCTCCATCTGCTGTCGCTGTGTTTCCAGCTGCTCGACTCTTCTTTCAAGTTCTTGAAGGTACTTTATCGTCTCCTCTAGTATGGATACCCTATCAACCTGCAACAAACTAGGAATTTATTTAGATTGGCAAATTATTAGGGAAAGGAAGAGTTTTTCTTAGTGTTCTAAACAACCTTGTTGACTGAAGGAACCATTGACTTTAAAATCATGAGCCTTTCATCAAGTACTTCTCTCTGTTTCCTCTCCGATAACATTTGATTCATGCTAACTTCATCAGCTTCCGATATCACATCTCCATCTATAAACCCATTTTCTGGTGTATAGCCGTAGATGTGCTTCTGTGGGAAATCAAACAGAATCTTCTTTAACATTTTCTGCTGGATCCCAACCTTCACATTCTGAGAGTGCTGCTGCATGAATCCCACCTTCTTCCAGCTGAGGAAGCTGGATTCCTGACGACAGTTCCGGAGATGCGGTCCAAGAATCAATGGGTGAGAGGTCTTGAGTATTGACGAGACAACACTCTGATAATGCAAATCGTTGCTTGGAAGGCCCGGTGCAGCCATTTTCACACGATTGCAGGCCTCAGACTCTTGCAAGAAATCAGTGTTGTAGACCTTTTCATCGCTTGGAGGGAAAGCGGCAAAGTTCTCTGGGTCTGCAATGGTTTGAGATATGGATTCGCTTGAGTTCAAAGAACGGTTGATACCAGGAGCACTGAGATCATCATCATCATCATCCATCAACAGCCAACTTTCCACTTGTGAAGCTTCAGCTACTCCACCACCACCACCACCACCATCTACCCCTTCGATAATGAATGAATCATCCGCAGCTTCATCATTTGAGCTGTCATTGCGAGGAGAAGTAGCAGCTGCTGCCATCTCGAATTCTGCACCGTGGACTCCTGGAACAACAAGCTGGGATTCCATTAGGATCTCATCGAGTTCTTCATCGTGATGTCCTGTAATCCACTTCTCTGAAGTTAAGGGATCTGGATTGTCGAAGAACACGCTTCTGATGTGCTGAATCAGGCTGTAGTCCTCCAACACCTGGTGGAGATTTGTAGTAAATTATCCGAATTGGAAGAGGAATTGCTTGAAATAGCGAAGTAGCTCACTGAAAAGGCCTTACTTTCTCAGTTGAGCCAATCTCCAAGACGCCTCTTAAGATGGGAAAGCACACAACAGTCTGTCAAGTTCAAATGGGGAAAGAATGTCGATTAAGATAGTGTCATCTAATGATTAAAGAGGTCATTAATGATGTCGATTAAGATAGTGTATTCTTACCTGAATGGATGCACTCTGAGGTTGTTTTGTTGTGAGAAATCCACCAATCATGTGGAGAAAACCAGGAAAAAACATAAAACTTGAGTTCCTTTCATAGCTTAAAGTTAAAAGTTCATCTAATCAACAAAAAATTTCTATGAAAATGGGTATGAATCTCAACCTTTGCTAGAAGAGAGCGGGTGAAAACTTTGCTATCAGCACAATGAGCATTGCAGAGCCAAATCTGCTGGCGATTAGCCAACGATCTCCCTGGCAAACTGTGGGGAAAAAACAAGAAACCCAGCAAACCAGTTTGCAAGATCAAGTTGAAAGTTCCAAACTTTAAATGACACATGCACTTCAGAAATGGTGAGTCACATGATTACCCTTGGCCAATGTTGAACAGGAAAGACATGCAGACCAGATAATACCACTCAGTATCAGTCAAATCTTCCGGCGACAATGCTGCCGAGGGTCTCCTGGATTGCAGACTGGCCTCACCATCCGAGAGAGAATCGTAGAGCTCCCTAAGTTGCTCACTTCTCTGTAACCCCAACTCATCGGCTTCAATCTCCATCGTTTGAACAGTTTTCCTTGTCTTGATATCTCCATTGTAGTACCCATCTCCCCAATCTAACACCCTTCAGGATTCAACAGTAAGAGATCTCAACCAATGGTAAATGAAATTTTTTACAGGAAGTTTCAGTCAGGCATTTTAGCAAACGGGTAAAAGATAAGAAAAAGAGAAGATAAAGATGAAGACAAAATACCCATGCTGTTCAGTTGACATGGACCAGAAAATCGCATAGCTCCACTGGATACTCCTCACAGCAAGTGCAAGCTGCTTGTTGATGTTCTGTTGTCCTAACCCATCTTCGCTAAAAGCCCCATAAGCCATGGCTCCACCAAACCTTCAAAAACCGAGGCTACCTACTCAAACCCGCCCTCAACAATGGAGTATTCTTGTTGCAGCCACTTTCCCACTACACATATTGATGGGAACATTGCCGAGCCTCTCCATCACTGAGGAAGAGAACCCATGTGGGTTGTTTCCTGAAGCAGAAGGGAAAAGACCGAAACTTCACACAACAGCCTCACTCAGGATTCCGGGAGCAGCAGTATTTGTGGACTGGATTTTGCTTTCCCTGTCGTGCTTGTTTAATCTTTGATTTTGTTTGCCTCTCTTTTTCTTTACCACTGGTTTTGGTTCAGGGTGTAGGAATTCACTTTGCCCAAAAAGCTGAAACGAATGGACCCGCGCTGCAGCAGGTTTTTGCCACCATGAAAGAACCAGCCCCCCACTCTGTGACAGGTGGGGTTTCAGTTACTTTCATTACTTAGCTAAAGATTTTGAAAAATTTTAGACCCAGGTACCTGCCGATCAGAGGCTCTATTCAGCGTATCTGACACTGTTGGATCGCTGCCTCGCATTTTCAGTTATTGGGCCAGATTTATTACATTTTCAACCGTTGAATGACCGCTAAGTTGATACTTGATACGCGGGGTGAATGAAGGTGGTTTGGTTTTGGTGATTGGTTGGTTGGTTGGAATAGTTATAATGGATGAATTATTTATAATGTATTGTTTTTTTACAAATAATATATGCATCATTTGCTTGATATTATATAACTATTACTCAAAATGAGTGATAATTAAATTTTAAGTTTTGGATGAAATTGTTGAGATTGTTTGGTTGCGATTGTTCGAGCTATATCCCTACTTTTTTATGTGTGTTGCTTTTTTATAGGTAAAACACACTTGTATAGCCAAAAACTTTCATGTTTGTGCCAATAATAGCCAAATTTGATGAAATACCACTTATAATCACTTCCGTCCAATTCTTTAACGATGTTAATATTAAGTGTGACTGGGCAAACGGAGAGACTTATGTGGCCAACACTTAATTCCCTTCTCTACTTGTCCACATGGATAATAATTAATTACAAAAATAATGGAGCAAAAATCCAAAACCCCTCATTTGACTCACCCACTTTTTCTTCTGTCTTATCGTCTTCTTCGAACACCCACATTTTCCCCATCTGAGAAAGACGAAGGCGACGACCCTCGTACCTAGGGCTGGAAGTTTGGTATCGGTATTTGGTATATACCGAATACCGTACCGAATTTGTTGATATTTAGTATTACCAAATACCCGAATATTTCATCGGATTGGGATTGGGATTGAATTTCAACTGTAATTCAGTATTAGGGATTATGGGATTGGGATCGGTATATACCGAAATACCGAACAATACCGAAAAATAATATAAAATAGTGATGTGTTTTAACCTCCAAACTGATATATGCTCAATCCTCACACATTTTTCACTGGCCCTTAATTGAATATGCATAACCCATTACCATTTTTTAACGCCCATACAATAATACAAAGCCCAATGATACTCTTTAGGACTTTGAAAATTCATACGATTGATACGAGGCAGCTAGCGGCCAGCCTACACGCAACAACTACTCCCATCTCACTAAAAGAATCAAGGTCAATATCTTCTCCCAATTCGGCTCTCTCAATTCATAATTGCTAATCGATTCTGCAAAGAGCAAGCAGGCGACAACCACTAAAGGAAGGTCAAGAAATAGAGAAATTATGCCGCCCATGTAGCTTCAGTTCTCCCATCTCCAAATCCCGATCGGCAAGTGGTATGGGAAGCAACTAATATTAAACAATCAAATATCCTCAGCTCTAGTAAAAATCAAACTCCCTTTTTAGTCTTTTTGGTGTTAATTAAACAATCAAATTTTATTTATATATTTAATTATTAATTGTAAATTTAACGAATTTCGTACTCGATAATACAGATTGGGATACCGAAATACCGATTGTGATACTGAAAATATTTAGAGATTGGGATTGGGATACCGAAATTATTTAGGGATTGGGATTGGGATTGGTTTTAGGGTGTAATTCGGTATTGGGATACCGTTACCGTACCAATTTCCACCCCTACTCGTACCCACTTGGTATTCCTTCCTCCACCATCAATCTACCCCCCCCCCCCCCCCCCGGTCCCGATTTTCCTCCATTCATCGATCTTACCCTATCGCCTAATTCCTCGACAAAGACATACATGCATTTGATGAGTTGACCAACCCGCGGCAAGCTATGGCCGAATACTCCGAAGCTTCTTTTCTGCTGACGAACTCACAATCGACCCGTAGCAGACGAGAGGTAGTTCTTCGTAGAAACCCTAATCGCACTTCACAGGTGGATTTCTGTTGTCACTCGTGTGTCGCGACTGGTAAGGAAACTTTCTTGGTTCGTTATTGTGGCTGTGGATTACGGGCAGAAGGTTCTTATAGATTGTTCATTATCTTCCTTTTTTGGTTGGTAGAGAGCTGTAAAGACAAGAAAGCTACACGAGAAAAGAACGTCGGGACCACTGGATTGATCCTTTTGGCGAGTTTTCCCCCATATCTGACGGTGAGTGGGTCGATCTACTAGGTAGAATTGTCATTGCCTATGGTTGCGAAAACCCTAGAATTGAATAATGTTAATCGTTGTTGTTTTCCATTTGTTTGGTAGTGATTAAATCATTGTTTACTTTGTATAATCATGTGGTTAGTGGTGATTAAGAAACTGTTAAATGGTTTTGACAGATGGTTGATTCATGGGACGAAGCGTTTGGGGAGAATGAAAGTTTAGTTTTGGTTATAGTTTGGTTGGGATAGTTACAATGAATGAATTCTCCATAATGCATAGTTTTTTTTTTCAATTTTCTACAACAAACAATACATGCATTGTTTGCTTTTGTTTGTACCAACTAGCTCCGGTATGAACAATAATATTTGTTGGTGTGGAGTTGACTCACGATCCGTTCGTCTGATCTCGTCGGGAGGGAATGGACCTGTGAAAGAGCCGGGGTTGCCCCCCGGATTACGCTCCGACGATCAAGTCAGTGTATGTTTTGAGGTGGAAGTTGAGAGAATAAGGTAGAGAGATAAGGGAAAGTAGAAAGTGGGGAGAGAGGAGAAGTCCCCCTTCTTTGGAGGGCTTCAAGCTCTTATATACCTGTAGCGGGTATCGAGCGTTGGGCGTCGCCGATTATGCGCCCTACTATTTAGTCTGTGCGCGGAGTATCTTAGTAACACCCCCAACAGCTTTATATGATACCAAATATCACTCAAAATGAGTTATAATTAAATCTTATGTTTTGGATGAGATTGTCGAGATTGTTTGATTGACATTGTTGGTTTTTTTTTGTTCCAACTATGTCCCTACCTTTTTATGTGTTTTGCTTTTTTTAAATAAAACAAAGAATAAAAATTCACTAAAAAAATAATATAACTTATTTAAATACTACAATATATTACAGAAATCAAACAATGCAAACTACAATACATCAATTTTCTTATATTAATGTATATAGTTGTACATGCTTGATAACAATGCATCAATTTAACTATCATCAAAACCAAACGACCACATAAAAAAAATTCGATGAAATTACAAATACTAGAACTAGAGATGAGTGATAGTTAAATCTCAAGTTTTTTGTGAGATTGTTTGATTGTGATTGTGAGTCTTTTTTTTCTTCCAACTATTTCGCTACCTTTTTATGTGTGTTGTTTTCTTATATAAAAAACAAAGGGTAAAAGTGACATTTCATCCAAAAAGTAATATAACTTATTGAAATACTATAATAACTATCATATAAACCAAACGATGTAAACTACAATACACCGATTTTCTTATATACATGTATATTATTATGCGTGCATTGATGAAATGCATCAATTTAACTATCACCAAAACCAAACGACCCTATAATTAGTGCAGGTAATCGGTTAGACGGTTAATAGTTTAACCATTTAAGGTGGTTATTGGTTAAATCGTTAACTGACGGTATCAGTATGTAGTAGCAAAAATCCAGCTGTCGTTATATAGACTTCTACCCGGTTAGTAATCGGTAGTTATTCGATATGCCGGATAACCGACTGCTAAATCTTTCAGATGCAAAATCTCGTCGTCCCGTCAACCCTCGCAACCAATTTCAGTCTTCATCCCTTCTCTCGGCCCTCTCGAGTCGCGACCAATCTTTGTTCCGCCCACCTCCTCTCTTACTCTCTCTCTCTAGTTGCCGCCATCTTAGTATATCCCATTTCGACATCTTATCAAACCTCTCTTCCACTTGGATTAGTTGTCGCTCCTTCTCTTACCGAGACCAGCACATGAATTAGTAATGCGGTACAAGATAATTTTTAGATGAAAACACTGGTATAGCCGATAAACGACCACTTACCACCCCTAGAATTAATGTAGTGGATTGAACAATCCTTTATTCAATTTACAGTTAAAAATTAAAATAATAATGCAATTACTATGTAGAATTTGATAATGCAGAAGAACACGAACACAAAACAAGGGATTTTACGTGGTATCCTCGATCGATAGATTGATCGAGACTAATCCACGGTGAGCTCATAAGAGCTCACGGCTGATCTTTTATTAGGATTACATCTTGACGGCTTGCTATCACACAAATCGATAGCTAAGCTTATATAGATAAACTTAGGGTTAAAACCCTAATCCAACGAATCAGACGGGGCCCAACAAGACCCAATACTAACACGGTTTAAGTAACCGCAACACTCCCCCTCAAGCGAAGACATGAATGACAAGAATGTCGAGCTTGAAGAAGTAAATGTGAAGAACAAGCATGATGGCTTGAACCACAAAACTCGAGATGGATAACATCTCGGACGAGGTTGATTGGAGACGACTGACTCTCTCTGAACAACCTGATGATGGAGACGATTGACTGCGTCTCTGGAACTTGAACACACCTGGTACATCGCGGTCGACCTGATGACGGAGGTAGTCGACCGACGTATGTTGACCTCCTATTCTCCCCCTCAAGCTGGATCATGAACATCGTGAATGCCCGGCTTGAAAAGCGATGAATGGTTGAAATGTGCCCACTAATGAACCAGAAGAGGGGACGACCATTTCTTAGATCGTGAATACCAACTGGACGATGAAGGGACGATTACTTCTTTGATCGTACTACCTTTTGAACGCCAGGGGACGACCCTTTGATGGATCGTGAATGCCTCGATCGATACTTGACTGTCTTTGCCTGCAGAAGCTCTATCACTCCAACAGTGACAAGTGAAGGATCAACCAAGCTTGGGATTGAAAAAAAACTTCACTTCTTCAATGTTAAGGATCTGCTTCTCCCCTGCAAACAAAAATAATTGGCCAACTCGGCCACTGATGTTGTGAAAGATAAAAGCCAAAGCTCAAGGAATTAATTTGGAACCCCGTTAAAGCTCTTCAAAAAGGAATTGTTGAGCACGTTAGGGCCATTCGGCAACACTTGGAAGAGTGAGCTGGGCGGCCCAATTGATTAATGACGGACGGCCTGAAAGGGAAACCTGCTGCCTCTGGTTTACACCAATCTTCCGGTCCAATCAAAGATTGGGAAACCCTAAAAAAAATTACCAATTCCAGCGCCGCCCCTCCTTTTCCCATCTCGTCTCCTCTTTCTCCTTTACAATTTGCAATTTCACCTTCCGTCTTCTTCCTCCGGCGACGAAACACAGAGGATGACTCTGTCTGCAGGCTGGGAATCGACGAAGAGGAGAGGAGGCATGTGATGGCGGTGGAAGCAGATCGACGACGGTGAAGTTGCGGTCGGGACGAGGCTGGTGATGGCGGTGGCTCCGCTTTGAGCAGTCTCGCCTGAAACTAACAACGATGATGATTCAATGGCGTGGGGACGCGGGCGACGATCGACGCGGATTCAACCCACCTCGACTCCGTTGCCTGGTCTGATGGCGCTAGCGCTGGTGGGATTGCTCCGAGCAGTGATGAGACTTCGTTGGCCGACGATTCAGGAAGGAACCAGATACCAAACCAACGATGGGTGACTGCCGGTGATGCATGATTGGTCCACGACCGTGATTTGGGAAGGCACTTGTGATTTGACGAAGACACCATATTCGCTGGGTTTGAGGGACTCGGCGACGGATATGGGATTCAGGAGTTTCGCTGATGCGGGGCGACCTCCGAGATGACGAATCTCAAGCTTGGCGCCGGATCTGAGTCAGCTTGGCCTGGGCTTCGTGTTGCCAACGACGAGAGGACTTCAGAGACCGACAACGCCAGAGAGAGGGTCGCCTCGGACAGCGGCGGTGCAATAATTTCAGAAGCAACTGACTTCCGCCACTTCTGTTCTTGCCTACTGCCGAGCGATGGAAAGATGGAGGAGACGTACGGCGGCGACTCAAGAGCAACGGTGATGTCGATGGTAGTGATTATGAATCGCGCTCACTGTCGGGCGAATGGAAGAACGAAGATGCTGCCACGAAGATGCAACGGATGATGACTGCGGAAGCTCAAAACCCTAGATAAGGGATCGAGTTTCGCTCTGATACCATGTCATGAACCAGTTGATCCCAATAACTCGAGTTGTTGGGAGAAGGTTATGATGGATCTTATACCACTCTCTAACACGCCCCCTCAAACGAAAGCCAACCCATGGGCTTGAAGTTTGCACAGGCCCACCATACCATGTGCTTGAAAGACAACGGTTAATATTGGGGGTCGTGGAGATTCGAACACATGACCTTTCAGTTCTAAGCTCTGATACCATGTAGAATTTGATAATGCGGAAGAACACGAACACGAAACAAGGGATTTTACGTGGTATCCTCGATCGATAGATTGATCGAGACTAATCCACGGTGAGCTCATAAGAGCTCACGGCTGATCTTTTATTAGGATTACATCTTGACGGCTTGCTATCACACAAATCGATAGCTAAGCTTATATAGATAAACTTAGGGTTAAAACCCTAATCCAACGAATCAGACGGGGCCCAACAAGACCCAATACTAACACGGTTTAAGTACCGCAACATACTACATTGCCTTTTATTAATTTAAATTAATTTGAGTTATTAAATTTTAATGAGGTTGAACGACTGAGATTCACTTAGTAATGTGACTAAGACACCCTCTTAATCATCTAATCTTTGCCCATGCACAAACACAAGAGTAGGACTACGACGAGTAGACTAGATACCCTCCGCACCATCAATGCAATGCTATAATAACTGGGCCAAGGGCGGTGGGCTGGGTGAAGACACGGCTCCAGTAGATCCAAAAGGAAGGAAGGAAGTACGTAATGTTGCTATCATCCATCCATGGCTGCCAAGCCCTAAAAAAGGAAGAAACTTCATCATTTTGTTCCCTCCATCACTGTTTTTAATACTACTGAGTACAGCTGTTCAGTCGTCTTCTGCCTCCATGGTACCGCTGCTCACCAAACCACAATAACTCCCTTTGGCAAGTGAGAGTGGGTGGCTAATTTTCTCCAAAAATGGATGTGTATGCATTGTAAGCAATATGGATTTTTATAGATTATCAATCATGGCAGCGGGTTCGTACACAACACACAAGACTTTTGGTGCGCTATGTAAGTGTCTTTCTTATTTAGGGTTATAGGTATAATATGCTCCTCTACTATGCAGTTTTATCAAACATGTCCTTCTACTATTTTTTACATCAAACATGCCCCTATACTTTGTAAAAATGATCAAGCATGCGCTTATGTTAAAATTTGCATCCAAAAACCATCAACCATGGTCAAACCTTGGTTTGGGCGACACCTATGTCTAAAATATTTCTAACAATTTCACTTTAGAATTGTTTTGTTTCTTCTGTACAGCCAAATACCTCTAATAATTTCACTATAAAGAGACATGGAGAAATAAATGAGGAAGAAAAGCTGATATGTCACCCACAATTTTTTCGATGTCGGGTCGTGCGAATCTCGGTTCAACCGTGGTTGACCATTTTTAATGAAAATTTTAACATAAAGGCATGTTTGAGAATTTTTTCAAAGTATATGGGCAAGTTTGATGTAAAAAGTAGTAGAGGGGCATGTTTGATAAAACTGCGTAGTAGAGGGGCATATTTTACCTATAACCCTCTTATTTATGATGGTTGTACGATTGATGGCTCTAAACTTTGAACTTTTAGATATTAGAGGTGTTCAAACGGAGTGGTTACCGTGTTAACCGGTAGTATTTGGATAATTTGGTTTGATTTATTTGGATAATTGGTTTGGTTTGATTTGGTTAAATTTTTTAGCTTGTTTGGTTTAGATGGTTTGGTTTGGTTTCAGACACTCCTAATCAATCAAATCAATTTAACCAGTTAAGTAATTAGCCATATATCTAATATATTATATGCACATACTTAATACTTTGTGAAACCCCTTAAGAGTCAAATGTAGGATAATAGTATTAGTTACATGTAGTTACATGTATTTATGTGTTGAATAGTTATGTGTTTCATTATATAAATTTCAAATTTATACACTAACCGGAAATTTTTCTCACTTAATGATAATGTGATAGTATATTGGTTATTTTGGTTAATCAATTAACCAAATCGATTAAACTTTAGTTTGGTTAATTTGGTTATTGTATTCGTTTGGATGGTCTGGTTATGATATTATATTCTATGGTTAATAGAATTTAGACTTATTTGATTTGGTAATTACTATGACAACCATTTGAATACCCCTATAAGGTATGGTGAATTTTATCCGCTAATTTAGATAGACTGGCTTTACCGTCTTGTCATGGCATAGCATAATGATCCAGGCTTTGAGGTTACAGTGTTACACAAATATAGTGAGACCAATATAGAGTAAATCAATATAGCATTTCATATCACAAGGGTCTTGATAGGAGGATCAGCCGAGCACTTCTACTATGCTATATAGTATTGGTGTTTTAATGTACAACTTAAAGTTGTACTATAACATAAAATGTAAGTTTAGGTTGTACCATAAAGCAATTTGTACCATTTATGTTATGGTACAACTTTACAACTTGAAGTTGTACCATCACATAAAGGTACAAGTTCAAGTTGTACCATAAAAGAATTTGTACAAAAAGTATTGGTACAATCTGAAGTTGTACCATAACGTAAATGTACAATTTTAAGTTGTACCATAAAAGCAAAACCCTATAGCACAAATACTATTTAGCATTGTAAAATTTCTCAGATCAGCCTAACTAACTTATTGAACTCTAACGGATAGTAACGACTAACTAATTCAACCCTACACGTGGCAGAAACTGTAGCGAATGAGAAAGTGTGAAAAGAAAGAAAAGTTTCCAGGCTCTCAGTTCTCGGATTTGCTTCTACCATAAAAAATAACTAGTGTGGGCCCCGGCCAGTTGGCCGGAGGAAGGTAGGATGGCAATGGGTCGGGTTGGGTCGGGTTTTGCCAAATTCAAATCCAAATTCATGGGTTTATCCGTGAAAAAAATTCGGGGTAAAATCCACTGGATTTGAAAAACTCAAACCCAACTCAACCCCTTGGGTATCTGCGGGTTCATGGGTACCCACAGGTTTTTGTCTTAAAAAATTTACAATAACAAGTTCCTATAAAAATTAAAGTCAAATATCAATCTCTCAATACAAATTATCCATATATAAAATACCATTCTAGAAAATTCAAGCAAATAACAAATTATCCATAAATAACATGATTAATTGAAAGCTTCTTCCTTTCAATTAAGTTTCTTCACTCTCCACTCGATAACATCAACTTCATTCTACACAATTAGAAAGAAAAAATTAGACATGTCTCCACAAACATAAATAAGATAAGTTGTTTAGAATATTAAATATATCCAGAAAATTAATTATATGGGTGTGGGCGGGTACCCATGGGTCGGGCTTACCTAAACCCAAACCCAACCCGATGAATATTGAACAGGTTTAAACCCAAACCCGGCCCAAAACCCGTCAACACGGAGTTTACCCGCGTTGACCAAGTTGGGTCGGGTGGGTACCCGTGGGTTCGGGTTTTGTTTCTATCCCTAGAGGAAGGTGAGGTATGAAATTTGATAATGTAATGGGGTGTATAACTTATTGTTGTATAGTTTTTTTGGGAAACACGTGATAAAAATAGTGAATTTTAGCAGGAAAGAGACATTAATGATGCAACAAATCAAAAATCGGCCTTATGAACCAAAATCAAGTACCTGTTACCTTGTGAAACAATATTGTTTCTGGTAATATGATGAGGTGGAGTAAGTTTTATAGAAACTGAATTCCAGAAAATCGAATAAAAAATCGCCTATCCCGTCGGTTTTCGGGAAATGAGCATCTCACAATCGTTGCTAGCTTTTACTCGGCCCGTTGGCCGATTAAATTGGTTTATAAAACTTTCATCTTTTCGTCATTGTGCTTTCTGGTTTTTTTCAGGCTATGATAAAATCTAAGGAAATCAAGAACGAACAACACGATTTGGGATAGGAACCGTCGTTGTCGTATCCCTAGAAAATGGTGGTAAACACGGACTCACCTGCCAAACTGGTTTGGATTGAGATTTTTATCGGGTATCAGGGAACCATGTGATTATAAATTAGACTTGATCAAAAGGGGCCAAAACTTGAAATGCAGCCTGTTTGACCGACCCATGCCAAATTCTAATTATTCTTTACTTTTAAACTTTTTATTTGAAAATAAAAAATAGTGAAAGAAAAGAGATGACTGCCATTTGCACATCACTTATTCGGGAATAAAACCATAGAAATTCAAAAGGAACTGAAAATGTTAGGATCGTTTTAATGTTTAAAATAACCAAATAGATCTTTCTGTTTAGTTTTTTACTAACAAATACCAAACGATTCCCTATAAAATACACTATGATTTGATCATTATGATATCAAATAATTATATAATATATATTTGAAATGATAAAAATTGGACTAATTGGGTTGGTCGAGGTTGAACCATTGAATAACTTTAAAATACATTATATTTTAGCCACTAAGATATAAAATAATAGCATAATATATTATGCCAGAGAAAATAGCTTGTTTTAGAATGTCAAACCAATGATGTTCATTTGTTTTACTTGATGGCCAAATCCCGTGTAGGTCAAACCAATTCACCTCTTTTATTTTATGTTTAGCGGTTAGCCCATTAGATACCATGCATTAGTTTATTGTTAAATTTTTTATTTTTAGCAATAAAAAGAAGTATTGTTTTTACCTCTTCATATATATTTTATCACCACGGAGAAATAAAAGGGCTTAACGAAAAAATTGACACTCTTGAACCCGTTTAAATCCGCATGTGTACGGTAAGTTGGCCCGTTCCACAGAGGAAAGAGGAAAAAATTGACACTCCATATTCTATCATTCCTACAAACGCTCCTGGAGCAGGAAATTTGAAATGGGGGAAGAGTTTTTTCCTCTCTGCTATTATATCTTTTTAATTTAAAAAGATGCAACAAATGTATTTATTGTGATTGGTTATGATCCTTACTTTTCCTTAAAATGGTCAAGGTTCGAATCCCACTATGTGTCTTTTTAATGAATTAAAAAAAGTAAGTGTGAAGACCAAAATGTCCTTCCTACTTTCACTCTCGTTGTAGGAAATTTGAAATGGGGCTCCCGTTTTTCCCTTCGGTGTATTATATTATGTGTAGACCCTTATCCCAAAACTGACCCGCCTCAACGCAGTTCAGAAAACCAGCAACATATGTATGTAGGGATGTGTGACGGTCTAGCACCAACCGGATCAAACCATGATAAAATAGTAAAAGAAATCTAAAGATCAAGGACGTGATCATCATTGTATTCAGCTTCATCTAGTCCAATTCAAATATCAATTCGATCCATAATTTTCTGTATTCATAAAATTCATGGGACAATTCGATCCGGTATGGTTTTGATCCAAATGTCAGTTTGGTACGATACATTCCGGTAAAGATCAAACCGTTGCACCCCCTACCGAGCTGGAAGGAGCTAATACAGGTTTGACAAGCTTGCTTAAGATAGAGTGAGTGAGCAAGAGCAGACAAAGGTTATTAAACTCATAGAAAACAAGAAAAGAGAAACTTCACGCACCTCCCTGTCAAATATATCACTTATTATGGACCACCCAAAAAGTTTGATGATTACCTTTCCCTCTAAAACCTTGTGTCTACTTTGGTTCATCTTCCACCATCAACATCCAATCTTTCATTCTCTACTTGCTCAAATCAAGACAGTCACCTTCCTATCGCAATCTACTTGTTCGTGATCAACAAACCAACACATGACAACGACAACAATAACCCATTTCCTCCCTCCATTCAATCAAATCCCTGGAATTGGATCTAGCCTCCACCCATATATGATATACCACTACTAAAACACCCCTACTTGTTTGAAAAATTCCCCCTAGCTCAATGTCTGCAGACAGAGATATTATATATTGAACGAAGAAAGGAAGAAAGAAAACAGACAGACAAACAGACTAAAGATGCTTAAGTTCCACATTTCCTACCAAACCTTCCAAAGTTCTTCGTCATAGCCAAAGGACATGACTTGTAATGAGAGCCTGCAAAACTCGAGCCATAAGAAATTCAGAGGCTGTAAAATTTCAGGATTGTACCAGATATTCTGGTTACTCATGGGACCAGCTTCCTTCTCTGCACCAATTAGCCAAGGGAAAGGTTGTAAAATGTAGGTGCGGATTCAATAGGGAAGGGACCATGACCATATAGTACTGACAGACAGCAGAGTTTTTTTTTTTTTTTTTTTTAACTAGGACAGTAGAAGTAATAATAATACATACAACCTACATCAGATGAATGGTGAAGCAATGCATTTGAGTCAGGATTGAACCCAGCGGGCCATGAATCAGCATGCAAGCCCTAGACCAATCTGCCATGTGCTGTATATTTTCTACAAATGCACCCTTATCTCTTCTCTTCCCAATAAGTTCCTTCCAGAACTGGCATATCCTGGCACAGTTTGAACTTGTAAAAGCGAAAGCAAGGAAGTCTGGGTTGTTCATTTAGGTCCACCTAGCCAACCCAAACAGTCCAATAATGTGAAAAAAATTCAAAGAACTGAATAACATAACTACATAATCAAGTGCATTGCTTTCAGATAAGATAACAGATAAATGATAACCTGGCTTCTAATAGTGATAACAGAACACAACCAATCGTTTCGTAGTTTGTATTACCAAAGTTTGAATTGGACATTTCAGGTTATATTAGAAAAGTTAACTACAAAATGAACCTTAATTCTTGGTTCTCCTGGATGGACTTCTAATCCACTTCAATCATCGTCGTGAATGGACCACCTAGCACTTCCTAGATGTACTTCTAACACAAGCCAACTCCAAATTTCAGAAGCTCAGTTCTTGCTGTAAGAAGTCTAGAGGGGCCGAACATATGAGAAGCCCAATGGACCTAAACTATTCAACAAGAATCATACCTTACACAGAGGCATCTTGAATGTCGAGAGAAGTTGCAAATAAGTAGTTGCTATTTGCTATTCTATTGCTCAAAGTCAAAAGCAGGGGTGCAGAAAACAATTCCAACGGCACAGTGGCAGTTATTTCTCAATAATATAACTGCAACCATCTATGAATTTAATCACGTTAAAGTTTTACTCATTGAAGCCTTCACAACTGGACTGGACTGGACTGGACTCCTTCACACCCAGATGACGCTGCTCTCTAATTGCTGCCAGTTAGCTGACAGATTACAATCATGGAAGCCGTATAAGTTTGTTCACCGACGAGTCCAGAGCATCCACATTTCTTCTCAGAAATTTCCTTCACATGGGCTTAAGGAAAAGCCAAGGCCACTCGGACAACTAAAGAGGGATTTAGTCAGCTTTATTTAGGTAATGCATGGTTTTTATGCTGCCTAAGCAGATCATCACTGAGAAGCAAGACTGCCAACTTATATATGTAAAGAGGAACAAAAAGGATACAATTGAGCAGCCAATGTTTCAATGCCCTTGAGTTCCTCATTTAACCTGACAATGGAATTGTAGACTCAGATTGAAAAGCATCTTAAATGTTAACAGTCATATTGAAATAACAAAATTCTTAAGGTCTCTAAAACAGCCTATTAACTTGAGTTCCTAAGGCAGTAATGTGAAAAGCCAACATCTTATGAACAAAACCGTTCATATAAAAAATCTAGATTCAATAACTGGGAACAGACATTAGTGGTTAGCACTTAGCACCACTGTGTACAGCCATGTGTCAAGAGCTGGACTCTAAACTGCAGCCACAATGGCAGAAACCACAAGAGAATCACTGGATTTAAAATTATCTTCGTTCGTAATTCAGCCACTTTTGCAAGTTATCGAACCCGAACCACAACAGAAACTCTATCAACATGACAACGGGAGACCTAAGTTGAGTAAACACCTCCAACATTAATGGCAAAAACTAGAACTTTGCCTGTTGCATATGAAATTTCTCAAAGAGATTCTAATCAGCACAGTTCAGAAGTACCTGAGACATGAATTGATGTAGCGGTTACCCTTCGTAGCTGCATCCAGAACTGCCCACAAAACAATCAATTCAACACAAAGTTCAGAGAACGCAACAATCAATTCAACAAGACATCAGTAACCAGCTGCAGTTTACCGGATTCTTGAAGGCGGCCAGTGGCATCACCAAAGCAGTGCATATGATCGACGGAGCTGTTCGTAGCCTTCACAAAGTATTCCACAAATATTAATTTCAGCTCCCGCGTTCCTTTCTCGGAAACCAAAGGGAAAAAAGGAAACAAAATTAAAATCAGCTAAAAGTGAGAGAAACCAGGCGACCTCAGAGAGCGCTGATCGGAGCGAGGAGAAAAGAGAGGTGAAGCTCTCCGCAATGGCCAAGGAGTCCTTCTCCACGACTTTCACAGCCTTAACTATCTCCCTCCGATTCAGCTCCGTTGCAGCGCGCTCATCCGGCAATTCCAAACCAGTGGACGATCCGTCGAGCTCCGGCTGCTCCGCGACTGATTCTCCGCGTTCACTGCTGCCGCTGCCGCTGCCGCTGCCGCCTCCCATCGCCAACGTTGATCCACCGAACTTCTTACTGCCGGACCTTTGAGTAAGAGAGTTCCTATTTGTCGCCCTAATTATTTAAATTTATCGCCCTAAGATATGTAAAATGACCAAAATTGCCCTTGGGTGGGTTTTAGGGTTTAAAACCCATATATTGTAGTAGGACATAATGGTCCTACACTTTTCCACTCTTTGTAGAGACAAAGAGTGGAAACTTCAAACAAAAAACTAATCAAATCCCACACCACAACAATTCTCAACTTCTCTCTTCTTTATTGGTGAGTTTTATTTGAATTCTGCTAGACCATCGGAGCCAAAGGCACACTCGGCAGTGAAGTAGTCGAACAAAGGTATGCTGCATTCTTCTTCTTTTTTCTGGTTTTACGAGAACAAATGGGTTGAAATTGTGTGCGCGCCGTCGGAGAGGCAGGTTGAAAACACGTCTCTCCATTGAAGGAAACGGGTAGACAACATGTCCGTTCCTCTCGCTGAGCATGTAATTAACATGCTTGATCCATCAGAAAGGCGGGTAGACAACATGCCCGCGTCAGTGGACAGGTGGGTAGACAACATGTTCGCGCTGATGGATAGGCTCGTAATTGACCTGCCCGTCCCGCCGTCAAACCATTTTGACCACATGTCCTTCCATGGACGAGGTGGGTAGACAACCCGCCCGCTCACCGGTAGAGGCACCTGCGCAGCACGTTTGAACCATTGGCGGGGCATTTTTGTTTTCTGCCTTGTCGATGGTCGAGTCATGTTTTGCACATGCTTGGGGCCGGTTTTTGTGATTTTTAGATGGATTTTTGTGAATTGTTAGACAAATTTTGATGAAATTCACTTGAAATATATTATATGTTCATTAAAATTTGTTTTTTGGTGTGCTTGTAGGAGGGAGGACAAAGTGTAGAAGCCTCTTTCGTTATCATCATCAAATAACAAGTTTAAAATGAGTGATTCGGTAAATACCTTATTTCTTTGTTGTTTAATAGTTAAATTATTGCAACATAATTGTTTCAAGACTAACGTATATATTTATACTGTGTATTTTTTGTAGGGAGGTTTTGGAAATGATAATGGTGACAATGTTGATTTCATAAACGATGTTGTTTATGATACCCATGATGATGCTTGTGCGGCTGCAAGGGAGATTGCCATGAGAAATAGGTTTTCCTTGATTGTGGGATCAGTCAAGCAAAATCACTCATCAGAAAAATATCCGCGGTACTATATGGATTGCAGCCATGGCTATAGGAACAAGTCATATACTCCTGATTTGGCAAAAACAACAGGGAGCAATTCTAAAACAAGTAAGTCTGATTGTCGTTTCCGAGTGGTAGTGCGTTGTTCATTGGTAGATGGCAAGTGTGCGTGGAGAATTTTTGGTGTTAAGGACAAAGATAATCCGGGTAAGTCGAGAGGATTTCACAATCACAAATTGGAGGTTTATTCTTAAGGAAGTAGGCAAAGGAATTCTCTTTCGAAAGAGAGAAGAATAGATATTAAGGAGTTGGAGGCAACACATGCTCAGGCAAGAGATATTAGGAGTTTTTTGAATAGGAAGTACGATGCTCATCACCATATGAAGCAGATTTATAACGAGACAGAAAAGATTAGGCGTGAGAGATTGGGTGGCATGAAACCTATGCGGTGGACATTGATAGAAGCTCAACGTCTCGATTACTTTGTTCAGTGCGAGTTTGATGATGAGCGTCGTGTTTCTAGACTCTTCCTTTGCCATCCAGAGTCTATTCGAATGTTGAGCGCATGGTATTTCGTCATTTTGATAGACTCAACTTACAAGACTAACAAGTATAAGCAACCATTAGTTCAGTTGATTGGTGTTAGTCCGGTGAAGAAGAACTTCAATATTGGGTTTGCATTGGTGTCGGATGAGACGAAGGAGACATATGCTTGGGTTTTGATGCAATTGAAGCATCTGCTTGGTGATCGAACACCGGATGCGTTTGTTACCGATAAGGAGGGAGGTTTGGGTGTCTCATTGCGACAGATCTTTCCATCTTCAGCTCATTTACTATGTGTGTGGCACATGAAGAGGAACATTGAAGCTAAAATGTTGTCTTTTAGGATCAGTCGTGATTCTGCCGAGTGGTTTATGGAAGGTCCATGGGGGAGAGTCTTGAATGCCAATACCGAGGCAGGGTTCCAACGGTGTTGGCGAGACTTGCAAAATGGTCATTGGGGTACAAACGAAAAGTTGATGGACTACCTCAGAAGTGAGTGGATACCATGCGCGGAAAGGTGGGCTCATTGCTACACCAATCGTGTCTTCCATATTGGTAACACAAGCACAAATAGGGTAGAGTCAATGCATTCCTCTTTGAAGAAATGGCTTGCCACTTCGACCCACAAGATCGATACACTCTTCCTCAGATTTCATACATCCGTCGAGGGAAGAGTGATTGAATTGAAGAAGGACTTAGAGGCATCACTTTCCAAGGTATTTTCATTTTTTTGCTTATTTAAATTAGTACTTCCCTATATCCTCAATTTGATTTTGACTTAGAAATTCATGATTCGGAAAGGTATTTGCATTAGCCTATGGACCGCCATATGGAAACTTGAATAAGGAAGTAAGCTTGTGGGCGATTGAGTTGATGATGGAAGAACGAGAGAGGGAAATCGTTCGGCGATGTGGATGTCGGCTACCTGAGACACATGGTCTACCATGTAAATGTAAGATGGATGAATATAGTGTTGCCGGCGTAGAGTTGTATCCCTACCACTTGCATCAATTCTGGTCATCTTTGGTGTATGAGAGTCCTCCCGATCGTGCCGAATGGGAAGACCATGATGCCATTGAGCGTAACATTTTTACAGCAATGGTGGAGGATGTGTACAAACAAGGGCCAGCTGCTATTCGGAAGGCAACTCAGATACTACGACCCCATATTCATCCTCAAGTTGAAGGCCTACAAGAGCCTAGGGAGTCAGAGGCTCAAAGGGGACGACCACCTAAGAGGACCAACGCCGGAGATCCTTCTTCGTTTGAGCATGAGAGGGCAAGGGCAGAAAAGAGGAGCAAAACAAATCAGAGCCCGAGGACACCTAGGAGCAAAACCCCTGCAGGTTAGCATCATTTAAAAATTTTTGTGATGATATCTTGTCTCATTTGTAAGGTTTCCAATATGTGACCATTTATATTAGTTATTTTTTCCATTTGTTGTAGCTGCACGAAAAAGTCAGCATATGCAAGTTCACAATGAGAGAAATGTTTGCCCCTATCTTCGCTATGTCCCACCCAGCATCCACCCTCTTGTTAGAGGTTGGTTTGACCCAGAACCAGACGGGCAATGTGGTTTTCGGGCCATGTCACATGCGATTCATGGAGACGAGGGGCACTACCTACAAATGAGACAAGATATCATCACAGAGGTTAGAAACCATTGGGGTCTCTACGAGGGAGTTTATCTTTCTAGAGATGGATCGTTGGAGGCAGTAGTTCACAGATTGGATTGTCGGATTGCTGGGAGATGCACCCAAGAGTATTGGTTCGAGGAGGCGGATCTACTGGTATTTGAAACCATGTACAATTGGGCAATTGTCGTCTATGGATTGTATGGAGGGCGACACACGTATGGGTACACCGCCTTACCTATGACGGCGCCGGAGGGGATTACTCAACCAAGTGATGTTATGGCACTGGTCTTTACTGGGGCACATTGGGTGCGACTCATAATCGAGGATGTCGATGGAGTGACACCAATGCCTCCTTTTTCACCACAGTGGTCTCATTTTCAGAATATGACATCAATTCCTGATTGGGACTTGTTATACGAGCAAGAGCAGGCATTGTATGCCATTCTCGGAGGACATTATCCAAACGATGATGAAGAGGGTGATTAAGTGTTGTTTCCTTAGATTGTGTTTTATTATTATTATTTTAGTGTGTGCTTTGTGTTCTAAGTTACGTGGATTTACGTGGAATTAATCAAGTAGTGTATGTTTTGTGTTAGAAAATATGTTGATTTAGGTTAAATGAATCAAGTAACATGTGCAAATTTACTAAATCTCCCAAGCTACCTAGGCCCCCCTCCATGAACGGGACCCTCCCACCTCCTAGCCAATGGGTCTCCCTGTGTCACAGTCTGTGGTGCAGCTCTGTTAATGCGCAGCGATGGAAAATACTCATAGATCCAAGCCTGTAACAAGGTCAAGCACCTAGAAAATCCTTTAGATCCTGCTCGACTAGATCTCCCAAGCTACCTATACATCCAGGCAAGCGCACCAGCACCCCATGCATACTTACTAACCATCTGCAAATCTCTGAAGTAAGAGTACAACCATCCACGAACACGATCAGAACTCTTATCCACAAAAAGCGTGGACCCTATCAAACACATTAAATAGCATCGTGCCTCAGCATCTCCATCCTCCCTAGCATGTAGACGTGTCATGGCCTCATCTACCAACATCCCACCACCGTCATACCAACGGATGCCACGCGCTGCCACTGCATTCTTACCTGGAATCCCAAGAAGATCAACAATCCCACTCACGAACGACGGATCACCCTTAGCTGGTGCAGCAAGTAACTCTCCATCCACTGGAATCTGGAGCAGGAATGAAACATCGTGAAGAGTGATCGTCATCTCCCCGAACGGCATGTGAAACGTGTTGGTATCCGGCTGCCACCTCTCAATAAACGCCTCCAAGAGAGGGTAATCCACACTATGCATCATGCAACTACTCAAGTGGTACAAATTCGATGCCCTAACCAAGTTCTCTACACGTGGAGTCGAGAACTTGTACAACCTCAGTCGATCCACTCCACCCTGCCGAGTGTAGAACTGATACTCAGACATCACTCGAAAATCCAAATCCAAAGTCCACAAACGATGGCTTATGTGACCACCGAAACTAGGGATCAAACTATGGTCACTCGGACCCCCAGGACCTGCTCCTGTAAGCAGCCATGTCTGATCCACCAACTTCTTCCGTGAAGGGACGCTCCCACTAGATGATGAAGCAAAACGCCCATCCTTACCACGTAGCGGCCCAACCCGAGTACTAACATGGGTCGAGCCAGTAGACACGTGATCGCTCGAACCTACAGGATGGCCCTGGTAAAAAGCATCAGGAAACGGCAACAAATCACCCTCCTCATCACCCTCCTCATCACCCTCATCACCCTCATCACACTCATCATCACTGCTCGTGGCATCCTCTACCAAGTCATCATATGTGTTGATGACTCGCATCTGTCGAGAATCATGGCTAGAGGGGGCATGATCAACTACAGCTTGACGAGCAAGCTTCTCCTGACGCTCCAACTCAAGAGCTCTATCCTTCTCCTCCTGACGTTTTCTCCGCTCAGATCCAGTAACATTGCGTCCAACAACCCTCGACTTTCCCTTTCTTTCGTTCATTTTTACCAACTATCAAGAAAATAAATTTTTTCAGAATTATTATTAATCATCCTAAACTTTTTAACTATTCCTAATAATCATTAACAATCATAAACTTTATCAATTGAATACTACTTATATTGTCAAAATAACAAAACATCATGCTAATTATAATTAACAATTCAAATCAAGTTTATCGAAACTCACATTCTAATATATGTCGCATAAATAATCATTCACAATTATTATTAATTAAAATCAACAATTCAAGAACCTATGCATTTAAATTTAAAAACAAAAAAAATTGGGCAGAACAGAACCAGACCGGTTGGAAAACCAGACCAAACCAGGCCGGGCGGGTCGGATATCCGACTGGACCGGGTCGGGGCGGGTTGGCGACCCAGCCACCGCCCGATGCAGGCGGATTACCTGCCCGCCTCACCCCAGATCCGGCCATTCCATCTCCCTGCTATTTACGGCGACAGGCGGGTGGAAAACCTGCTGCCGTTGACATCCACGAAAATAAAAATAAAAAAAGTGGAAAGATCCATCAGACAGGGGGACTCACCTTCTCCCGGCGACGACGACAATGGCGAGCAGCGAGCAGAGGAAGGCGTGGTTGCTGGAAGGGCGGCGGCGTTGCTAGTCTTCGACGGCGGCGTAGCTGGTCTTCGGCGGCGGCGGATTTGCAGGGAGATGGATGGGCGGGGGGAGAGGGAAGAGCGGCTGCGAAGGAAGGGGACGTTTCAAATGGAAAGAAGGGGGGCGGGCTGCTGGGCCTGGGAGGGAAGCTGTGGGGTGAGGGTAAAATTAGGTTAGGGTTTTTTTAAGTTGGGGGTAGAATTGTCCATTCAATAAATTTAGGGCGATTTATTTGAAAACTTAGGGCGACGAATAGAAGTTCAGTTGAGTAAACGCCGAAGAACAATTCAGAGGTCTAAATAGGTGACGGCGTCGTTCTGGCAGTTTCAGGCAGGCAGGACCGAAGGAGGTGACAGGTGTGCCTTGTTTAGGGATTTTTCCCCAACATATTAGGGGTCGTTTCAAAAGTCCACACATCATGTTTAGTGATGGCAATTTCAACCCGCTCCGCGGGTATTACCCGACCTGACCCGCGATGGGACGGGTATTACCCGATTCGCAGTAGCGTGGGGCGGGACATGGGTATCTACTTCCGACCCGCCCTGCCCCGTTCTAGACACATTTTATCTCAATTTCTTACAATATCTATACATATTTCTCCTATTTTGACTTTTCTTCAACTAGTTAGAGTCGATCTTTCAACTTGTTAGCCTCAATTATCCATTCCATTATCAATATTTTCATTCATAAAGTGTTTTTCCTGCGTTTTATTGTAAAAAGTAAAATTTACTTGTATTTTTTTTTTGAACAACATGTAAGAGTGGGTCGACCCGCCCTGCCCCGTACCCGGCGGGTTTTACCCGCCCCGACCCGTAGTAGCATGGGGCGGGGCATGGAAATTGAGGTACCCGCCCCAACCCGCCCTGTTGCCATCACTAATCATGTTGCTCAAATCTGTATTTGGTGCTCAAAATGGAGCTGGATTAACAATGGGAGGATGGGATTATTTTGGGTACAAAATTTGTGGAGTTGGACAAAAAAAATCTAATAATACTATACTTACACTAAAATTTATAGATTAATAGAATTTGGTGTGAAAGCGATCGTTAGACATGAAAGCGATCTACCCCGGATGGCGATCAACCAAAGCGAATCAACTCTGAAATCGCTTGAATCGCTGGAGACAGTGAGAAACACACATTTTGTTGCTGACCCCAACAATCTTGTCCAAAAATTGCTAGAAAACCCTGGGATCTACACCTAATAGACGTTGAAAATTCAAATTGTCATAAAAAAATTGGCCACAAAATTGTATTTATCATGCATAAATTTCTGCACTTGTTTTGGAATATGATGCGGTTGCTGACATGGAATTTTGCTTACGGTATAATTACCGGTAATGGAGCAACAATTACAATTTTGCAATGTTATATGGTTTGGCTATTATTTTCTATTTTCAAATATTAGGCTAATACTTTGTTAAAATGAAAATGATTTGACTAATAAATTGTATTTAATCTAATATATTTTGTATTCCAGAGCCTTTGAATTCAAGAATCCTTATTAGTCACCACTGGTATGGGGTGAGCAATTGGTTTATATAACTCGAATTGAACCGGTTGGATGAACACTAATCAATATTCTCGATATAGAAAGAAAAATCAATTAGAATGCAAATGTATGTAGTTTAAATGAATTTTAGGTTCACTGTAGTATCATATGATATAGCAATCGTCGCAGTTGTCCTTTCAGCATATTTTTCAAATTCGATAAACCCTGATAAATTTTTTCCATAAAAGATACATATGTATACATTCAACGGGACAAGTTACCTATCTAAATTTAAAATTTATTTGAATTTACGCTCCCTCCCCTAAAGCGGCCTATGAACTTGTAATAAATTCATATATCATGATTTATTTATTCGATACTCTTCTCGGTAACATACTCATTTTGCTTTGTTCACATAATCACACTTTGTTTCTAGTTTGTGTGGAATTTCAGTTCCCTCCCGAAAGCAATGTGCTTTGTGAGTTTGTCATCAATTCATCCCAACGTGAACAAAGCCATACAAACACCAAGACCCAACAATACACGCCATGACAATTCATTCGATGAGCTTTGGAGTTATGTGGAAGAGACTTTGCGCCTCCAAGATAATGACGAAAGCATTTACTTCTCCGTTCGTCGCAGCGGTGGCCGCCTAATGGAGTCGTTGGAAACAACAACGACACAAAACATGCCGGTGACGAGTCTATCACCACAACAACGAGTCGTCGGCAACTGCTGCCGGCAACGTTGCTCGCCGGAGAAATAGCGTATGTGTGTGAGTGTGAGTGTGGTACCGGTGCGATCTGGTGACCCGACCCGATCAATTTGTTTTCACTTTTCTTATGTCTAACGTTTCGTCTATGCAGATTCCTAGTGTTGTTATCTATTGATGGATTGGAATGAATGAATGAATGAATGAATGTGAAGAGATTATTAATTAAAAATAAAATCAAGAAGCCTCGAGTTTTGCTTACTACGCGACATAATTTTTACATTCATAATTAAAGCTAAATACAAAGTTCAAGCAGCATTCGGCTGCGACGGCAAAATCTGAAACCTACAGACAGGACAAGTCTCGGTGCCGACCTTCAACCAGTGACGGATGCAGTCTCCATGGAAAACATGGCCGCACGGCGTCCTCTTGGGCCTGGCTTCTTCTTCGTGGGCCTCCCCGCCAGGCCCGCCACAGATCTCGTCCAAACAAACGCAGCACTCCAGGCCTTCTTCCCAAGCGGCCCCAACCTCCGTCAACGACTTGTCAATCGCCGCTTCTCGAGCCCTCGTCACCCTCAGTTGTAGATCCCGCAGCTCATCCTCCGTCACCATCACAATATTCATCAACTCTCCCCCGTCAAAGTGGATTTCCAACCTCGACATCTCTTCCTCTTCTTCTTCTTCTTCTTCTTCCTCTTCTTCTTCTTCCATGCCATCCCATTCGCCGTCGCTATCGGGGAACGCCGTGACACCGTCGTTGCCGGAAGGTTCCAGAATGACCGGCGTCAGGTGGCGGCGTAAGTGCTCGTCGTACAATGACGTAAGCATACCTCGGCGCTCGAGGTCCTGGGTTGCTTCGGAACCCCCAAGCAACCTCAGAAATTCCGCAACGGTAGACATATCGACAGAACTTGATTTCCACCGATGAAAGAAGGAGTAAACCCGATTTTTCTTTCCGATTCGAATTACTTCATCCGACTTTCCTAATTACCGATTTTATTTATAGCAGCGATACATCAACGTTTACCAATTTCTACTCGGAAAAGGAAAACAGTTTCCCAACTGGTTAAGGAATTTGTATAAAAAAGCGGAAATCCCTGACCGATTAGGAGACGGAAACAGAGTCCCCTGTTTTATATATAAATAAATAGAAACGAAATTGGCAACTTGATACAAGGGGGAAAGTAAACAGAGGCAGACATAGCTCAGAAATTTCACTCCTTGGCAAGACTCCAGATCCGCCGCCCCCCCACTGCCGGCGGCAATATGTCGTTTTCCTTCTTCTTCCCGCCGTTCTTCTCGCTCGGTCCGGACGATGACGAATCTGCCTCCTCCGACCATGAGGAAGTCTGCGACGAATGGGCATCCGATGATGATGGGATTCTCTCAGAAGATAAGTTTTCCAAGGTGTTGGACAACCACCTGAAAGGCGTGAGTGTGGCGGAGCTGGGTTCCGACGTGGATTGCTCGATTTGTCTGAACAGTATTCACGTGACGGCTCCTGGTGTCTGGAAATCCAAGTTACTTGCGCTCTCTGTCTGTCTCGGCTTCCGGTTGCTTAAGGGCTACGTCGTACTTGTGCTTAAGTCAACCGGAAGCACAAGCACCGGCGAGGGTCTTCTTTCACCGAGGACGCCTACGGTTCGGACAATCGGACGGGCGTGTTAATGAGGATGTTATCTTTGTAATTGATTATTTATCTGACTTCTTGGAATGATTCTTCTGATTGGATATTTTTTGGGTTTAGAAGGTGCGACATCATGTAATTAGGGGTTTTCAGTTTAGTAATGGTACTTTTATTTTGTTGCTCTCGTATTATGCTCTTGTTACTAAATTATTGTTTAGATTCGATTATCTTGTATTAGTAGGAAATTTTCCGTTACGTATTTTGTCAAATCTGGTAATTTTGGGAATCCTCTCTTGAGAGGAATTTTAGAATGCTATATAGCATTGGTGTTATAGATTTTTATTTTTATGGTATAACTTGAAGTTGTATCTTATGTTATGCTACAATTATATATATTGTACTTATACTCTTTTATACAAATTCTTTTATGGTACAATTTGAACTTGTACCTTTATGTGACGGTGCACCTTTAACTTTATGTTGTAAAACTGTACCATAACATGAGGGTACAAATTACTCTATGGTAGAACCTAAGCTTATATATTTGACGTTATGGTACAACTTCAAGTTGTATATTAAAGCACCACTGCTTTATAGCATAGTAGAAGTGCTCTCTCTTAAACTCCCACACATTGATGACAATGTATCTTTTTAAGTAGGGGATATGAGACCTCATATACGTGTACCAATTCAACTTGCTTTCTTGTGTGATGAACTGATGATGAGTAAATGATTATGAGAATGTGTCTTTTAAGTAGGGGATATGAGACTTCATATACGTATTACCAATTCAACTTGCTTTCTTGTGTGACAATGTGTGAATGAATGGCGGGATGGTATGGCATGATAATAATTAGCTTGAAACTTAGAAGTCGATCCAAATTTAATTTATAAAATTTGAAGGTTCCGATCAAGTCCCATTACTTACAGTAAGATCACTTGCTTTGAATCGTCAAAGTATTTAGAGATAGTTGTAAGGGAATCTGGTTAGTTATAGTAAGCCTTTATCATTATAAAGAAAGGTGTGAGGAATGGAGCATGATCATAAACATAAGACTAATTATTTGGTTAAACCACTTTTCATCCTGATTTTCTCTCTTTCTCGGGCGAGTCACCTCCTAATCAGCCAACTCTTTGTTTTTTTTTTTCCGCCATAGTTATCCCGAGAGAGAAGCAACAAAGATACGACAAAATACAAGGTCTTCTAAGACCAGACTAGGAAAATTAAATAAAAAAAACACGATGGTCGACAAGTGTCTGCACCATCGCTCTAAGGGCTTGTCTTGCCACGATATGGGCAGCCCTATTAAACCTACGGGAAATGGAACGTTGCATGAAGGAAAGAAGCCCGCAACACCTGAATCTCTTGCAGGAGAGCTCCGCCCACCGCGTGCGACGAATCCTTCGCATTGATCATCCGGACGATCACCTGCGCATCCCCACAACAAAACATTAGTGAACGAGTGAGCCAGACACCAATGTAAAGAGTCGCGAAGGGCAAGATGCTCTGCGAGAAATGGGTCATCAATATTAGGAAGAAAAACGCCACCAAGCAAATATAGTGGTACTAGCCTATGCAAAACCAACAAAAACCAGTGGCACATCCGACCAAAGATTTGGTGGCGCCATCAAAGTGTACCATCACTGAACCGGAAGGTATGACTGGAGGGGAGTGATCACGTGGCAAAACCCCACCAGTAGTAGGAGAACGCCGAGGCAAAGATCTCTCTGGATGTATCTGTGCTAGCTCCCATATAGCAACATGAGAGTTATAATGTCGTGATAAACCATGAGGGAGATACTGAATACCATCATAAGTAGCCGAGCATCGGGACTTCCAGATCCTCCAGGAAAGAAATACCAAACGTGAAATCTCTACTTTGGATAAACCTGCATAATAAAAATAGCCTACGCCAACCAATCACAACATGGCACAAGCGAATTTGAGCAAGAATATGGTTGTACCCCCAACAAATCCCACAACTCCAAAGCAATCCGACAATTCAAAAAACAATGAACAAGAGTCTCTGCCTCACCACCACAAACAGGGCAAGCGTAAGCCTCAGTAGCATCATCATCTATCAATTCCTTATCACGTAAGACATCTCGAACAGGGAGAAAACCTTTAACCACTCTCCAAAGAAAAAAAATTAAGCTTTGGGGGAACAGGAAGAGATCAAAGAAACTTCCATGATCAAACCAGGATCATGCGAATTAGTGGATCTAGGAAGGATAATTCATGTATAAAGAGACTCACCCAACATAACAACCAAGGAATCTTCGTATCGGGTGCTCTTCCATTCCATTTCAATCGTTGGAACCCCCTTTTGTACCTTTTTCTTTTTTTTCACATTCACCCTTTGTTGGGGTTCCAACTGCAGTTTTTATGCATGGTCGACCCTTATTGGTTGAGCAAGAGCAATTTATGTACATTTGTCGCTCGCCAGAGTACTTCTTTTAACTCCTTTTCCTCAACTCGTGTGGAGAGTCAATGAAATTAAGGGGGGTCGGAAGCTCTATCTATGCCCTTCAAAACACATCCTCAAGTAGGCAAACCCTTCAACGAGTGGAATTTTTACTTGTACTAGAGTCAACTTAGCTTCGCCTTGTAGGCCTCCCCCGCTAAGGATCACTAAAATCTCTTCCAACACCCGATTTTGTGCAATGAACAGTGCCACACGCATTGGGCTTACCCCATATTTCAACTTTAGAATTTCAAATTTAGTATTTCCAACTAGGAGGACCAACTGCTGCTCATTATGCACAACTGAGCACCCTCAATGGAGAAGAGGGAAGGATAAGGGGAACGATGTTACCGGTAAGAATGGACTGCAGTGGGACTGGAAATGGGACCATTCGTCATGAGCAGACTCGAAGGACCAGTTTCTGAGAATCATGGTAAAACAAAGCACAACCACTCGCATTGGGTAAGAGTGAGGATAACAGTTGTCAGCCATATGGCCTCAAACATAAGAAAATAAAAACAAAACACAATTATCAAGTTCGACACACAAATACGAAAAATCAAAACAAACACATGAAACCTGTGGTCAAAGGGTAGTCTCAATCCGCCTCGTCATCATCCCGAGCAGGAGAGGGTGCAAAAAGTGCTGGGTAGTGTCCACGTCGGCCGCCGAGCACAGGCGCTCCAACAGGAAATGAGAGTAACAAGAAGCGTCACGCTCATGATCCAGGCGCCTCAATCCGATGAAAAAGAGCCGCCATGGCCTCCCGATGGTCGTCAGACGGCGCAGGGGAGGAAGGACCGACACCGAGGAAGAACTTGAGCGGGTCGGAATTAGGCTGAAACGGTGGATCTCCACCTACAGTTTCATCGGGCGAGTTACGGCCGTAACACGCTGACTCGACCGAGTCAACGGGTTACGGGAAAATTCAGGGAGTTACGGTTGTAACTCTCTGATCCTCCAGAGAAAAGCAGAGTTACGGGCTACCTTAAAAATTACGGTCATGACCGTAACTTTTAGCCTTAGCCCGTAACTTCTGGAAAGGATTCCTAGTCGACCTAGAGGGACTTTTATAGTTATGGGCTGGTAGGGATAGTTACGGTCACGATCGTAACTTCTCACTATAGGTTGTAACTTCTGGGATCTTCCTGCCATTTCCGCCCGAACACACCAGAAACAACACCATACGTCCAAAAACACCCCTCGGACCACCGAAACCAAAAATTCACAGAAAATGACCCCACAAAGCACGACAATTGATCACAAACTCCATGTTTGGTACTCGAAACACTAAAAAAGACAAACACAATCAGAGAATGGAAGAAAATGCAAACCGAGATGGGGTTGCCTCCCCACAAGCGCTTCTTTATCGTTGTTTAGTTGGACACAGATGCGGAACTAAGGGTCCACAAGATCAACCACCAACTCCGCTCGTTCGACATCGCCTCCCAAATACAACTAGAGGCGATGCATGTTCACTTTGAAGGGCTCAATCTGCGAATTGACAATCTCGATGGTGCCATAGGGAAACAACTGAGTGACCGTGAATGGTCCAGACCACCGAGAGCACAGCTTTCCCGAAAAGAGTCGCAGGTGGAAAACATATAGAAGAACGCGATCATCCACCTGAAACTCTTTCAGGCCTTTAAGACGAGCGTCGTGGATACGTTTGGTTCTCTCCTTATACAGTCTAGTGTTTTCATAGGCGTGATAACGCCACTCTTCCAGCTCCAACAACTGCATTTTTTGCTTGGTACCTGCCAGACTCAAATAAAGGTTTGGCAGCTTAAGGGCCCAGAAGGCCTTGTGCTCTAGCTCGACGGGTAGGTGACAAGCCTTTCCATGACGAGCCGATTGGAAGAAGTACCAATCGACATATTGTAGTTTTTCCTATACACCCAGAGAGTATCATCGAGCTTGGTGGACCAATCCTTGCGGGATTGATCCACCGACTTTTCAATGATCTATTTTAGTTCTCGGTTCATCAGCTTGGCTTGACCATTTGTTTGGGGGTGGTAAGCCACCGACACCTTGTGATTAACATAATAGATAGAGGACCTTAGTGAATTGCCCTTGAAAATGGGTTCCTCTATCGCTAATGATGGCTCGAGGTGTCCAAACCGGGAAAAGAGTTGCTTAAGAAATGAGCATACACGTCTGGCATCATTGGTGGGCATGCATGGATTGAGCTTCTATCCACCTCGATATGTAGTCCACATCAACCAAGATGTAGAGATTACCGAATGAAAGAGAAAAGAGACCCATGAAGTCGATGCCCCAGACATAAATAATTTCGCAAGTCACAAACGACTTATGGGCATCTCCTCATGGGCAGAGATGTTACGTGACCGCTGACAGCGATCGTACTAGCGTGCGAAGGTATCAGCATCCTTGCAGATTGTGGGCCAGTAGAAGCGCGACTATAGCACATTCCACGTTGTGCGATCCTCTATGATAGGGCTGGCTATTTGGTCCGGACTGTTTGGTTTTCGGATAGCAAACAATCCAATCTCATATTCGGGCTTAGATTTGAGGTAAAAAAACCGTTTGGAACCAGATCGAAAACCGGATAAGAGACCCCAACACCCAAAACTTAACCAACTCCTAACACTTTGAGGCCACAGGCCACTCAAATCCCCACAAGCTCTTTCTAAAATCAAGACCAAATTGGGACTGGACTGGGTGAAGACCGGACCGGATCAAGACCAGACTATATCCAATCCAATCTTTGGTCCTTATATTCCCAAAAAAACGGA